CCAAATTGCTGAATAGAAGGTGATGAAGGGGGTCACCCTTCGAGAGATGGAGGGGCCTTTAGAAACTGGAAAAGGCAAAGAAACCTCCTCTAGAGCCCCCAGAAGTATTGCAGTCTTGCCAACACTTTGATTTTAGGTCAGTGACCTCTGGACTTCTGACTTCCTGAACTGTAAGATAATAAATTGGTAGGGGTCAGTGTTGTGGCATAGTGGGCAAAGCGGCCCCTGCAACACCAGCATCCAATTTGGGCACCAGGTCCGGTTCCAGCCTCTCCATGATCCAGCTCCCTGCTTTGCCTGGGAAAGCAGCCCAAGATGGACCAAATGCTTCGGTCTTTGCCACCCACAAGTTCCAGGTTCCTGGCCTCTGCCTGGCCCAGCCCTGGCAGTGGTGGCCATTTGGGGGAGTGAACCAGCAGATGGAAGCTCTCTCTCTCCCTCTGCAACTCTTTCAAATAAATAAATAAATAAATACATCTTTAAAAAATTAATTGACATCGTTAAAACAATGTTAAATGCTAAATTTGTGCTTTTTTACAAAAGCGGGTCGAAAACAGAGTGCTCATTTTGGCAGCACATATACTAAAATTGGAATGAGGCCGGCGCCGCGGCTCACTAGGCTAATCCTCCGCCTAGCGGCGCCGGCACACCGGGTTCTAGTCCCCGTCGGGGCGCCGGATTCTGTCCCGGTTGCCCCTCTTCCAGGCCAGCCCTCTGCTGTGGCCAGGGAGTGCAGTGGAGGATGGCCCAAGTGCTTGGGCCCTGCACCCCATGGGAGACCAGGAAAAGCACCTGGCTCCTGGCTTCAGGTCAGCGTGGTGCACCGGCCGCGGCGGCCATTGGAGGGTGAACCAACGGCAAAGGAAGACCTTTCTCTCTGTCTCTCTCTCACTGTCCACTCTGCCTGTCAAAAAAAATAAATAAATAAAAAATTGGAATGATACAGAGATTAGCACGGCCCCTGCGCAGATGACACGCAAATTCGTGAAGCATTCCATATTTTTTCCAAGGTTTGCTGTTGGCATTGTTATAGGAAGAAGCGGAGAGATGATCAAAAAATACAAAGTGATGCTGGTGTTCAAATTCAGTTTAAGCCTGATGACTGAGTAACACCTGATAGAACAGCACAAATAACAGGACCTCCGGATCCCGGATCGACGCCAACGTACTGCAGAGATTACTAGGGACCTGCTTCAAAGTGTTCAGGCTGGGAATCCTGGTGCACCTGGACCTGGTGGTCAAGGAAGAAGTAGAGGGCAAGGCAGCTGGAACATGGCACCACCTGGTGGACTACAGGAAGTTAATTTCATTGTGCCAACTGGGAAAACTGGAATAATAATAGGAAAAGGAGGTGAAACTTTTTTTTTTTTTTTTTTGACAGGCAGAGTGGACAGAGAGAGAGAGACAGAGAAAGGTCTTCCTCTTGCTGTTGGTTCACCCTCCAATGGCTGCCGTGGCTGGCGCGCTGCAGCCGTCACATTGCGCTGATCCGAAGCCAGGAGCCAGGTACTTCTCCTGGTCTCCCATGGGGTGCAGGGCCCAAGCACTTGGGCCATCCTCCACTGCACTCCCGGGCCACAGCAGAGAGCTGGCCTGGAAAAGGGGCAACCGGGACAGAATCCGGTGCCCCGACCGGGACTAGAACCCGGTGTGCCTGCACCGCAAGGTGGAGGATTAGCCTAGTGAGCCGCAGCGCTGGCACAGGAGGTGAAACTTTAAAAGCTTAAGTCGGGGGCAAGAATAGAAGTTCAGAGAAACCCTCCACCTAATGCAGATCCCAATATGAAGTTATTTACAATTCATGGCACTCCACAGCAAATAGACTATGCTCAGCAACTCACAGAAGAAAAGATGGGTGACCCAATAAATCCTTTCAGGCTGCCTGTACCCCATGGGCCTTGAACCCCAATGGGACCTTATAAACCAGCTCTTCATAATCCAGGACCACCTGACCCAGCTCCTCATGGTCCTCCAGCTCCATATGCTCCCCAGGGGTGGGGAAATGCATATCCATGCTGCCAGCTAAGGCAGGAACGGATCCAAATTCAGCTTAGAATGCTTATGATGCTATTATCAACAACAAGCACAGCCACCACCTGCAGCTCCTGCAGGTGCACCAACTGCAACCCAAACGAATGGACAAGGAGATTAGCAGAATCCGGCTCTAGCTGGACAGGTTGATTATACAAAGGCTTGGGAAGAGTACTACAAGAAAATGGATCAACAAGGGCAGACGTAAGACTATTCAGAGGCTTGGGAGGAATATTACAAGAAGCAAGGTCAAGCGGTTCCTGCTCCTACTGGTGCTCCATTAGGTGGTCAGTCAGATTATAGTGCAGCCTGGTCTGAGTGCCATAGAGGACATCTTACTATGCTCAGACAAGTCCCCAGGGAATGCCACAGTATCCTCCAGCACCTTAGGACCAATATTAAGTGGACAGTACAGTATTTGCTTCATTGGGTGGGGCAAAAAAAAGTTTGTTAAATATACGGATGCAGGGGCCAGCGCTGTTGCGTAGTGGGTAAAGCCCTGCCTTCAATGCCGGCATCCCAAATGGGCGCCGGTTCAAGTCCCGGCTGCTCCACTTCGGATACAGCTCTCTAATATGGCCTGGGAAAACAGTACGAGATGGCACAGGTCCTTGGACCCCTGCGCCTGCGTGGGAGACCCGGAGGAAGCTCCTGGCTCCTGACTTAGAATCGGTGCAGCTCGGGCCATTGTGGCCATCTGAGGAGTGAACCAATGGATGGAAGACCTACCTCTCTTTCTCTCTCTCTGCCTATCCTCTCTGTGTGACTCTGACTTTCAAATAAATAAATCTTTTAAAAAAATGGATGCAGATGACTTCATGATCTTTTTTGTTTCTGGTTTAAAAGTTTTTTTTAAGTGTACAAAATATCACTACTGATAGGTGGTTAATATTTCTGTGTAGAAATGAAAACGGTGTTAGTATTTAGTATAGATGTACACGTTCCAGCAAATATCTTTGCAACTATTATGTGGTCAGTGCTTTGTGGTATAAATGTACTTTTTCAACGTATACTTTCACTTTAAAATGCTTGTTTTGTGCTTTACAACAAATGCTGTGAAACCTCAAAAAAAAAAAAAAAAAACAAAACCCAATAGAATCAACAGTCCTCCATTGCTTCAGTATAATGCCAAGTGGAGCCTGAAGCTTGCCATCCGATGCCTGCAATCCAAATTCACCCAAGTGGATACCCCTTAACCAGGTGTTCTGAACTGTGTCCTCCAATCCATATGCCAAACTCCCAACCCCCACACTCCAGAATGTATTTACATCTCTTAAAGAGGTGACTGAATTAAAATGAGGCAGGAAGTGGGCATTAGGCCTAGCTCTTAAGAAGCTGCCTGGGACATTTGCATGCCTTTGTCAGGGTGCTGGGCTTCAGCGGCCTACTGCTAACGTGCACTGTGGGGGTGGGGGTGGGGCCTGTCACCTGGAGTGCCAGGCTCCTTTAGCACAGTCACAGCTGTTGCAGGCATTTGGGGAGTGAACTAGCACGTAAGAATTTAGTTTTTTTTACTTTTTAGACGAGGATGTTAAGGCGAAGCCCTAATGCAACACGACTGGTGTCCTTATAGACACCCGAGGACTTGACATGTGAAGAGGCAACAAGACTGGCTAAAATGCAAGCCACGGAGGTCTCAGAACTCAGCTCTGCAGGCACTTCCATCTTGGACTTCCAGCCTCCAGAACAGTGAGGATATACGTCACTGCTTAAGGCACTTGGTGGTATTTCATAATACTAAAAGACATCAACTGGGCAAGAGCGAGCTAACTTCAGGCCTAGATAACCCATTCCCTCTCTACCAAGAATCAGTTTTCCTTTCAAATATTCAAAATATATTTATTAGAGGAAAGAAAATGAAAAGCTGTTCTCTCTGAAGTGCTTTAAGTAAGAAGTACTTGGCCTTTATAGCTGGCTTACTATACAAGAATCTGGATTTTTTGCATGGCTGGCTAGAGACTAGGGGCTCATCACTTAAGTCATATAAACAACAAAGTATAAAAAGCCAATGTTTGGTTCTATTCATGGCTGCTCTGCTTCCAATTCAGCACCCACTACTATGCATGGGAAGGCAGCAGATGGTACAGTGCTTAGGATCCTGCATCCATGTGGGAGACCCAGATGGAGTTCCAGGTTCCTGGCTTAGCCTTGTCCTGGCCCTGGCTGTTGTGGCCATTTGGGAAATGAACCAGCAAACGGAAGAACTCTGTTTCAAACCGCTAGCTAACAAATAAATAAAAGGCAATGTTGCAAATGACTCCCTTTGTTTGATCAAGGTCTCCACATACAGTGCTCAGAAGGAACTTGCCTTTTAATTCTAAATAAAAAAAATACACTGTAAGAGGGAATTAAAACAAGGCCAGCACTATGGCATAGTGGGTAAAGCTGCTGCCTATGGCACTGGCATCCCATATGGATGCCTGTTCATGACTGGGCTGCTCCACTTCTAATCCAGCTCCTTGCTCACGCACCTGGGAAAGCAGTGGAGGATGGCCCAAGTGCTTGGACCCCTGCATCCATGTAGGAGACCTGAAGGAAACTCCTGGCTCCTGGCTTCAGATCAGCCCAGCTCCAGCCCTTGTGGCCATTTGGGAAGTAAACCAGCAGATGGAAGATTTCTCTGTCTCTGCCTTTCTTTCTCTGTAATTCTGCCTTCCTAATAAATCTTTTTTTTAAAAAGGGCAGTTTTAGACATCTCCAAGAAAAAGAAAATTTCATTTCTGCATGTGATTATCCTTTGAATCATTCATCAATTTGATATTAGGAAAGATCTATTATTTATGTGAGTCTCATTTGACAAACCCTTTGAGCAAACCAAGATTATGCACAGAAAAACTTTGCACGTCTTACCTTGGAAATTCCCTTTTTTAAATTTGATCAATCCAATTTCATAAATATACTTTGGACAGAATCTCTTATTATAGAGGGATAAGCATATAATGGAAATGATGTGATAAAAGTGACATACATGCATTTATTTCAAACTTTATTATATAAATTTTCATTTCTTTTAAAGATTACAAAACCTGTTCTATAACAGGAATACAAGCAATATTGTTCCAAGATTATTCATGGATACATCTGAGAAAGCTTAGAATACACATTAATAATATGATTTGCAAATTTCCCAGATTAGACTTTTAAGTAAAACAATTTAAACTATTCAGTGATATTTGATCCTTTACAAGCATTTCATAATTATGGCAGCAGTGCCAAGCATCTGATACGATTTAACCACCAATAAAAGGTACAATACATAAGAACTCATGATACGGTAACTTGGGCTTCTGGCATGCCTTACCTTGAGAGAAACTAGTATAAAGTAAGATCATATATAATAGTAGAAAAATATTTGTGATTTTTTTCTTTTTTAAAAACTGTAGACCCCGCCCATTCCCACCCATGGCCAAAACTGCAAAATAATTACATCCCTTAGGTATATGCCTTCCTTTTTGTTTAGGACAAGAGAAAATAAAGTATATGTCTATAATTTTAAGAGTAAAAAAAAAACCCACAATCATTAAGGATGCTAATGAATGGCAATACTTGAAGCCTTTTTTTTAAATTAAAAAAACAAAAGCTTTATATGGTAAACCACACTTACAGAAACACAAACCGAATTCTTTATCCTTATGCCCTTGCTTGTGTTTAGAAGTTCTATCTTAAATCCTTGTCTGAAAAACTCAGTATACAGTTCATTCAGTACAATAGTGATAATAGGAGTAAAGATGTTCACTTCCATTAGATATTGAACTAATCTACTTAGGACTTTTACAGCAACTCTCTTCTCATATACATTTACATATACTGTACTCACATCGTATGTGCTCTAAAGAGGTGTCCACCTCTGGAACTTAAATCTCTTAAATTTTCCTTTCCACTAATCTCTATTCAAAATGTCATAGGCTTTGCTAATTGCTCTGGGAGAAGTCATGAACATTTGAACAGCTTATCATGCATTTCAAGGTTATATGGCAAAATAATAAGGAAAGTGCCTTAGGAGGTAGGAAGTAGGCTCTCATCCCAACCTTTGCTATGCCCTGTTACAAACAGTTGAAAGACTGGAATCAAAGTGGTAAATGTGAGACTGACAGTAATACTAGGCTTAAGGAAATTGAGTTAGTTACTAGAATTCTTTGAGGACACTTAGTCACATTGGAACCACAGTCACTGGATCACAAAGAATACAGCAGTGTCAAAAATACATAAAGTACACTGTAGGTAAAAATTCGTCTTGGCCATCCACATTTGGGTATTATCGTTCTGTAGATTCTTCACTGAAAAAAGTGGTTAAATGTGGCTCTGTAGAATACCACAGTCCCAAGAAAGTGAATTCATTCCTTCATTACCTGGTCTCCACCAATGGTCACTTGGGGAAACCAGCAAAATGTAAGCAACCTGGGGTTGAAAAGAGGACTATTTTCATTAATTGAAGCAATAATTCCGAATGCAGTCAATTTATCTGTGAATTAAACAGGGCTCAAAGTGTATATCCAATTTAAAGTTAAGTCACAGGGAGCTGGGCCTTTCAGAGGGACAGAACTCTAGGACTAGACTGGAACCTCTAGCTTTAAGCACCAAGGTCAGCCATGGAATCCATAATGTTTGTTAATCACAGAAAACAGACCTTTTCTAACCCTTTATGCTCCTGAGCTATCTGTCCAACACAGCTTCATTAATTTCAAATGCTCAATACCGAAAGACAGAATTTTCTCTACTAAAAATACAGTAAATCTCGCTGACAATTTTAGGCCAATGATAAAGGCCAGGAAATAGAGAGGATCAAAGCCATGTTGAGATGTGTACTGCTGGCCTCCCTTGGTGATTGCGCACATGTGTACCAAGGCCACCAAATATTTCCAATTTTAGTATATGTGCTGCCAAAGTGAGCAAGGCCCCCAAATCTTGGAAGGCTTTTTTGCTTTCACTCCAGACTGGGCTTTCCTACCAAACACACTCTGCCTTCTTTTGAAGCCTTTACACCTACCAATCCTCTATTTAAATCTTTCCTGGGCTGAGGGCATAGGACATAGTTAATTGGACAGTCCCACCTCCCCAGGCCCTAGTAGCAGCCACTTCTTAAAAGTTGATGGGGACTGGGTTGACTCAAACTTGCTCTTTGGATCACACTGCATGTGAAATCTGGGAAATCTACCCTAAACACAGCAAACCCACTCTCCAGACACTCAAAAGTGACTCTTGCCATACATTACTCTCCTGGCATCTTAACTTCATGCTTTGTCAAATTCATTACGTTTCTGGACTTTCAGGGCTGCTTGTGAGTAAGTGCATTCATATCAAATTGGTTGAGGTCAAGGGCCTACAGTATTTAGAAGACATCTCTATAAACTAGAAGGAGCTGAAATGATTAAAAAAAAAAAAAAGACAAAAAAAAACTTACCTTAATTTAACATCATCACTCCAAAGGGAAAACAGAAAACACACAGTAGTGTAACTTGCACTTTTCCCAATATATGCCTGGCAAAGTTAAATGCAATCTATCATTTTGGATATTATTCTGGATTATAAACTAAGAGGATGTTTGTAAAAGAGACCTGATAGTTTAGTTCCTTCTTTCACAGTGAAGTATCTTTAGGACTGGACATCTCCTGGGAGAAGCTCCAGGAACTGGCAGCACTAACTGGTGACCGGCAAAAGCCATCAGGTGCCTCAATACCACAACCCAGTGCCACAGAGTTAGACTCTGAGAAATCAAGGAAAAGTTAACCTAACACAAGCACTACATTTCCAGCACAATGCTGGCCAGGTCAGTCCACTGCAAATCAAAAGCACGGAGAACATCAGAACCACAGATTAAAAAAAAAAATTACTCATAAACTTGCTTTCCAGGCGCAAAGTTTTCAGCTCTGTGAACCATTACTTTTCTCCAATAAAACTGGCAGCTTGACTAGACAAAGAAGGCATTTAATTCTGAAAGAAAGAAACTGGGCACTCTGTACCACCAGCGGACTGCCCCAAGAAATTCATAGTCCTTGAACCTCAGTTACTGGTCAGGCAAAGGTAGCACGGTTTTATGAGTTAAAAAAAAAAAAAAAAAAGCTAAATGAGAAGGATCTAGTCTTTAATTTGGGTCTCAGGCTCTTTACATGCAGTATGACCACGTTGGGCCAGATAACTTATTAAGATTTAGGGTATTGGGGCCAGTGTGGTGGAATGGCAGGTTAAGCTGCCGCCTGAAATGCCGGCATTCCATATGGGCTCTGGTTTGAGTCCCGGCTGCTCCACTTTCAATCCAGCTCCCTGCAAACGCACCTGGGAAAGCAGTGGAGAATGGCCCAAGTCTTTGGGCCCCTGAACCCATGTAGGAGACCTAGGAGAAACTCCTGGCTTCAGCCTGGCCCAGTCCTGGCCATTGCAGCCATTTGGGAAGTGAACCAGTAGATGGAAAATCTTCCTTTCTCTCTCTCTTCCTATAACTCTGCCTTATAAATAGAAAATATTTATGGTGTTGACTTCTAATCCTATTATGGACAACATACCTAAGCAATTATGGAATAGCTTCAGTGTCAACAACCTGAAACTAGGTATCTTTTTTTCTGCTCAGCATTACTTTAACATTTAAAGAGTGCCAAGAATTTGGGATGACCATGGTTTGAAACACTGAGTAGTAGAGGGGGAAAGAAAAGCTTCCACCTACATCTTCTGATTTCTCTCTTCTCATACATTTTTCATTTAGAAGGTAAGTTAGATTTTTATGCAATAATCATTTGTGTCACTTGGGTAAGAGGAATGTTATAGATGTCCCCCTTTCTGTTCAATTGCATTGGAGAAATTTAAGAATGACAACTTGCTTTCAAGACATTTAGATGAACCACTCTCCTTCGGCTTTGGGAAGATTTAAAGCTTCTGGCTGGAAAAAAAGACTTCTGATGTAAATGGTTTAGTACATGACTAAGAAAGATCTGTTCGGGCACGTTCTTGATTTGGTAAGTTAAATGACTCTTTCCTTGCTCATATATCTTTTACATTACGTATCGATGTATGCTAGGTAGATTGGCAAAGACACAGGTAATAATGGGCCCAAAAGTTTCTTTCTTTCATTAGATAAAACTGTGGAAACTACCAGATTAGATGAATGTAACAAATACTGCCATCTAAGCAGACCCAGTGGCCATTACGAAACGGAGGTTTTCTGAAATCAAAAAAAGTAATATATGGCTAGAAGTCATCAGGAGGAATCCAGAAAACGCTGAATGTTCACTCAGACTACCTTAGTCAGGAGTTCAGGTTCGAACAGATACTGTTTTGCTCAAGAAAGTTTTATTCCCTAGATTAAGAAAGTTTAAATCCAATTTCATAGAGAGGCCTGTGGCCTTTATTACAATCAAATTAGTGTTTAATATGGAATATCTATTTAAACATGAAATATCCATTAGGACTTCAATTACCTGTGGCTAAATTTTTCTTCACCAATCTCTTTACGATGACTATTAAAGGCTTTTTATGTATATTGGCAAAATCTCAAATAATATGCCAAATACTAAGTATGGATACAGGATTAAAAGTGCAAGGACTACTTCTTTAATTAAGGAAAAAAGAACCCAAAGGAGTTGCAAAGTATATGGGCTTACTTCATAGATGTACTCTTGATTCCATGCCACACATGTATGATAACTTTCTCTACCATAATAGCTCTCTAGGTTAGTCTGACAGAGCACCTGACTTTAAGAAACAAACAAACGAACAAACCAGTGAAACAGACACAGGGAAGATATGTACATTTTGAAAGTTTACATTCAACAGCTGTTTCACAATCTGGCCATTTTTTAGGGCTGTCCAACAATACTGCTAATCCAGGTGAACTATTTAACCAAATTTAATAGTCAATTGGTTAATAATAATAGATTCCAAGTTAAACAAGGCATGTATACATTAAAGAAAGCAGTACAGAAATGTACTGTGTATGAACTGTTTACAAAAACATACAAAATGTTGGATGGCACAAGGGATACAGTGCTAATATAAACGGATTGTTTAAGCTAAGTGCTTAACATAAACTGTCCATCCCTATAACTAACAAAGAATATTTAAGGGACATGAAATATCTCCTATAAAAATAATGCTATATGGTGTAGAGTACTTTATTCAGTGTATTTTAGGTGGTATTCATATGTTCATTGTTTTTCTCATTGATTCAGTGAATATATCTTCATCACGTTTCCACTTTCATTTCATCCGGAGCTCCAGGAAAATCTAACTTGCTAACGATCATTGAAAGCGAGAAGAGACGAAAGCAGGAGCAGCAGCAGGGGCAGCAGCATTATGGGTACCGGCTGGGACAGTGTGTGCTTGCAGGTGTCTCTCAGATATGTGCTACCTGTCGCCAGAACTTGTGCTATCAGCTTACACCATGGTACCAAATCTCTCACTGAGGTCACTTCACAGGGCTGTTGAGGTGATTTTTTTAATACCTCTCCGCTGAGCAAGAGTGGAGCGGCCTACCGGTTCCAAGACTGGTGACTGATTACGGTTTAAAGCAGAGTACGTAGCTGCCATGGCACCCTGAAAAAGGAAAGAAAGGCAACAACAAAAATGACATCGCATAACCATACCTACGAAAATGGGAAACGAAGGCAGTTTTCAGGTAATTTTTTCATATGCAAAATCATATTGGTCACACTCTTTGCTTTAACTGACACCGCCAATGTGGGAGGTTGAGATTCTTATCAGAGAGGACAGGAATGGACTCCTAACAAGCAGTTCTCACTTTTCTCAGGACACACACTTTTTTTTCTTCCTTGAAAAATTCTTTGACACGAGAGGCAGAAAGATATACTCTTTAAGTTGGGAAATCCATGAGTTATTCGTCCTGGCAGTCTCCTTTTATGGAGGCTGCCAGAAATTCAAAAGTCACTCTGGACCAAGCTTTATTGTTGACTTTTTGGCATACCTCGCCTTTCACACTGCAACTAGGAGGAGGCTGAAAGGGAAAGGCTGCTGGGGCACGGAGAGGGCTTTCTGGAGTTTCGGGTGGCCTGCCCCTCCCGGAGACGGCGACCGAACGGCGCCACGCACCTTTACTAGATGTGGCGCATCCTGTCTGTTCAGTTGGTATTGCGGCAGTTGGTCCCAGTGGACGATCCAAGGATGTCTGAGCACCAGAGCAGCAGTCAGTCTCTGATGAGGGTCTACGTGAAGCATCTTTGACACCAGGTCCTATTATGGGGAGAATAAGAACAAACGAAGTTTCAACCTTTTCTCCCCCCTCCTGTTTCTACGGTGCCTGATGCTAGTAAACACTCTTCCTTAGCCGGGATGACCCCATGTTTTCTTGAGGGCAGCCTCTTCAGCTCAAAACAATTTGATAAACATGACAACCTGGGGAGAGAAAACCACTCAGGTCTCTGTCTTTGGCTCTCTCAGTAGCAGTAATTTTTGTGCATGACGAAGGGCCATATTTTCTCTATCTTTATGTACTCTGGCTCTATTTCCCCTTGGATTTTCTTTTTTTCTTTCTAAAGATTTTATTTATTCGAAAGGCAGAGTGATAGAGAGAGAGAGAGAGAGGGAAAATATGAATATCTAATATCTTCTATCTCTGTCTGTTGCTGGCTCTCTCCAAATGGCCACAACAGCTGGGGCGGGGCCAGGCTGAAGCCAGCAGTCAAGAACTCCACCTGAGTCTCCCATGTGGTGGCAGAAACTCAAGTACTTGAGCTATCGTCTGCTGGTTTTCAGGCACATTAGTAAGGAGCTGGATTGGAAGTGGAGTAGCCAAGACTCAAACTGTACACCACGGAAGAGAATTACTGCTTTATGGGGGTGATCTTTAAAAAGAAAAATCTGATAACTGCACTGCTACATAGTTTTAAAACAGTTCCACAATACTCAGAGAAAGCCTACAATCCTGAGCTCAAGCCACAAGGATTTCCACAATCTGGGTTCATCAAGTACCTTCTTCCACGCACTCTGCACTAGTCTTATCAAATGCCCCTCCTGGAGGCATTCTGCTATTCTCATACTATCGTCACCTATATGTATGTGCTACTTCTTCAGCTTGGGACAGACAATATCTTTCTCCTCCTCAAGTGTGCATGGCAAACTACTTCACTGCTTCTAGAAAGTTTTCCCTGAAATCCTTCTGACTGAGCATCATCTGTGAACTTCTTTAGTACAGAAACTGTTCTACTGTTAATTGTACATGGGAGCTGCTGGTGCTGTGGCGCAGTGGGTTAACACTCTGGCCTGCAGTGGCGGCATCCCATATGGGCACTGGTTCAAGTCCTGGCTGCTCCACTTCCAATCCAGCTCTCTGCTATGGCCTGGGAAAGCAGTGGAGGATGGCCCAGATCCTTGGGCACCTGCACCCGCGTGGGAGATCTGAAGAAGCTCCTGGCTCCTGGCTTCAGATCGGCGCAGCTCCAGCCGTTGTGGCCATTTGGGGAGTGAATCATCGGATGGAAGACCTCTCTCTCTCTCTGCCTCTCTTCTCTCTGTATAACTCAGATTAATAAATAAATCTTTAAAAAAAAAAAAAAAGAATGGTGCTATGCTGTGCATATCCTTAAAAAAATAGTACATGGGATACTATACTGTGCAGTTTCTGGTTTTCTCCCACCTAGACTGTGAGCTCCCTGAGATCAGGAATTCTATCTTCATCACATACTTTATCTCTGGGGTCTTCATTTATTAAACATATTGTAGGTATTAAATAATGGCATTACCCAAAGAAACAAGTACCCAGAGAAATGATTATCTGGTTTACGGAATTTTATTGTGAGAAAAAGACAAAGCCAACATTTCACTTTAAATTTGGTTATAAAACCCAGTATTTACAGACATTAAATTTGTTAACTGAGTTTCCACACATGACGCCAAAAGAATCTATATAAATGTTTGCTGTCTTCCTTTTTCCTTCTAGAATCAGCTCAACTCAAGCTTCTGCCTCTAAAAAGTCAGCATTTTTACTAGCATGAGAGCATTTCAAAAATTTCATGGAAAATGTATTTAAAAGATATGTTTGCTTTGGTGTAAAAAGTTCTAAAAGGTATGCATAGGCTTTCGTAATAAGCATTTACATGAAGTTTTTGAAGACACCATGTATGCATGGATTTCAAAACTTTTTGTACCAAAGTAAATTTACCTCTTACTTCCACCTTTCCACAAACTTTTTGAAGCACCTCATAGGTTTCTTATCTCCTCTATGTGTTTCTTATTTTGAAGTGGAAAACTGTAGTCTTTTCAAACAAGAAATTTCTATAAATAAGGTGAAAATGGAGAACAGGAAAGCAAGTCAGGGCTGATTAGGAAATGGCAGATTTTTTTCTGTGAGAAGGACTTTTCAAATTGATTTCAGGTAAATGCTATAAACTCATGGCACTGTTTACTGTGAAAAAGACAAGACCTCTTACTTCATAATATGAATAAGAAATAGAAAATGATGTATTTATTTTGGGGAAGGAAGGTTTTGGAGTCAGATATGTAGTTTGAGACGCTCAACACATACCTGGCATGTAACCATGGACAAGTTTCCACTAAAATTCAGGGCCTTAGCTTCCTTCTGTGAAATGGGGATGCTACCATATCTTCTACAAGGTGGTTAGGAGGGTTACATGAGGTAATGCAGTTAAAGTGCAGAGTGAGGCACACAGTAGGCAGACAAATCATTATTATTCATCATGTTTGTGTCTGTAAGAAAGAGCTTTAGATGTGTAGATAATAAGGCAAAACTAATGTCTTCTGGGTAACCAAAGAACTGTTCCATTTTTGAGTTCAAATTATACATAAGTTTTGAGCTGATAGCATTTTTCCCACTATGGCTCATGAAAAGTTACTCTCTCAGAGACTTGTAATAGAAGTCATGCTTACCTTTGCTGTGTCTGAAACGGAATTCCAGTAACCACCACTGAGTGAGAATTTTCCGCTACCTATTCGTGCCAATATTTCCTCTGGTGTGTCATCAGGACCATTTGCAAATGGAGTGTAGCTAATTTATAATAAAACCAAAATGTTAATGAATAAAACTTCTTTTTTGGTTGCTGATCTTTATATTTATTTACAGTGTCCAATGTTCTCTGTACTCAGTCAATGTAATACTTTACTGAAATCTACCAAAGTGAAAAATATCTCATTAAAATAAAGATCCATAAAGCACCAGGTCAAGAGATAGGGTTATAAAATGTTAGACTTCAGGCCGGCGCCGTGGCTCACTAGGCTAATCCTCCGCCTAGCGGCGCCGGCACACCGGGTTTTAGTCCCGGTCGGGGCGCCGGATTCTGTCCCGGTTGCCCCTCTTCCAGGCCAGCCCTCTGCTGTGGCCCGGGAGTGCAGTGGAGGATGGCCCAGGTGCTTGGGCCCTGCACCCCATGGGAGACCAGGAAAAGCACCTGGCTCCTGGCATCGGATCAGCGCGGTGCGCCGGCCGCAGTGTGCCGGCCGCGGCGGCCATTGGAGGGTGAACCAACGGCAAAGGAAGACCTTTCTCTCTGTCTCTCTCTCTCTCTCTCACTGTCCACTCTGCCTGTCAAAAAAAAAAAAACAAAGAAAAAAAAAGAAAAAAAAAGAAAAAAAAATGTTAGACTTCATATATATATAATATAAATATTTTATGATATGAAACATTATAAAAGAAAATGCCCATATGGGATGCTGGCGTTTCAGACAGCAGCTTAACCCACCACAACACAGTACCAGTCCCATGTACACTTAAGACATAAAAAAAGTAAAAAAGAGGTATGGAAAAATCAATTTAAGACCTCAAGACATTAATATATTATATCATAAAAAATCAGTAATGATAAAGATATAAATGTAGTATTACTGCAGGAAAGTACACACTAATTAGCTTGAAAAAACATGGAAAGAAAGATATTAGAACATAAGGATTAAAAATAGCCATCTGGATCATTTAAGCAAAATATTGAAGAAGAAATGCTTTTAACACATGGCATATACTTACCCAGTAAGCATTGTATAGAGGAGGACACCAAGACTCCATATATCACAAGCAGCATCATAGCCTTGTCGCTTTAAAACCTAGAAGAAGCAAAAATGTAGTATTATGAAACCTCGTTGTTGTTTTTTAAGATGCCAGGTGAAAAGCTTGCATGCCAGGCTCCAGCTTTCTTCTGATGCAGACCCTGGAAGATGGAGGTGGCATGTGGGGATTGAACCTTTCTCAAACAAATAAAATTTTTAAAAAATCACACTAACGTAATACAGATGGCATAGTACAAAATATTATTTTTATAACAAAAGTGTGTCTGAAGTACTATAGGCATAAAGATGAGGAAGCCATTTAAAAATTATTATTTTTTTATTTATTTGAAAGGCATACAGAGAACTCCCATCTGATGTTTTACTCTCCAAATGTCCATAAAAGCTGGGGCTTGGTCAGGCTGAAGCCAGGAGCCTAGAACTCCACATGGGTCTCCGAGAGCCATCACCTGCTGCCCTCCAGGGTACATACTAGCAGGAAACTGGACTGGAAGCTGAGACTTGAACCCAAGGACTCTGATATGGGATACAGACATCTCAAGTGGTAACTTAACCACTGTACCAAATGCCTACCCCATATTTATTCTTTTAAAAAAGTTTTTAACTTGGCTGGTGCTGTGGCTCACTAGGCTAATCCTTCGCCTGCAGCACCGGCACCCTGGGTTCTAGTCCCGGTTGGGGTGCCGGATTCTGTCCCGGTTGCCCCTCTTCCAGGCCAGCTCTCTGCTGTGGCCCGGCAGTGCAGTGGAGGATGGCCCAAGTGCTTGGGCCCTGCACCCGCATGGGAGACCAGGAGAAGCACCTGGCTCCTGGCTTCGGATCAGCGCGGTGCGCCGGCCGCAGCGGCCATTGAGGGGTGAACCAACGGAAGGCCTTTCTCTCTGTCTCTCTCTCTCACTGTCCACTCTGCCTGTCAAAAAAATTTTTTTAACTTATTTACTTACTTAAAAGGTAGAGAAACAGGAAAAAGAGGCACAGAGAAAGAGAGACTGACACAGAGAGATCACCTAGCTTCCTTCATTAGCAGGAAGCTAGAATTGGAGTGGAGCCAGGATCTGAACCCAGGCACTCTGATATGAGATGCAAGCATCCAAAGTGGCATCTTCATCCATGTGCCAAATGCCCACTTTGAAAGGGAAGGCTAGAAGATAGCTAGTCTGCTTACATGGGACCTTTAAGTTAAGACTTCAGTAGCTAAAGGAAGGAGGTGTGGGAGAGTAGAGGACATTCAAAGGGCAGAGGAGGCAAGGAATGGTCAGAACTTCACCTAAGGAATACCAGAGAGATACAAGGGCCTTTATAATATATTGTCAAGGAATTTAGATATTTCTCCTGATTATTTGTTCAATAAGCCTTCAATTAAACAATTACTAACTGTTCTATATTAAACACAAACACGGTTTTTTTCTGTATCTTTTAGGATGCAGGTACCACAGGAGGCTTAGCCTTCTACACCACAGTGCCAGCCCCAACAAACAAGTTTTAAAAGATACTGAAATATTGTAAGAAAACTCTCACACGATTACCTCTGGTGCAACAAAATTTGCAGTATAACAGGGAGTCATGAGAAGACCATTTTCTGCTCTCAGCTGTTTTGCAAAGCCAAAATCACAAATTCGAATAGATTCTGGATTACCAGATTCATCCACATAAAGAATGTTGCTAGGTTTCAAGTCTCTGTGAACCACCTAATTGAAATACCAATGAAAGAACTGCATTAACAATGCATTTCTATTACTCAAAATTCTTTATTCACAAATTGTCCAGCAATTCATTTGAAATGATGACTGCTGAGCTTTAAATTATCCCAACATTACAAAATGCTGATAACATAAGCTAACTCTAATATATATCTGGGGAGAGGAGGAAAAGAATAATATTTACTTACATCCTCTTTGTCTGAGTAATCAAGTTAAGGAGAAATGCAAATGGTATTAATATCTATCTACAGGTTAGTTACCCATTTAGCAATATTTAGTCTATCATGTGCACAGTGTTATCCTTTTACATGAGAATATAAACCAGGATTCTCTGGTTCTGCTTCTAACCTCAAGTGGGCCTGGTTTTCAAGGGTAGAGAACAGCCTAGCAGAAACTGTGTTATGTTTTCTAGGTCAGAATATCTCATGCACTTTTTCTTGGAAAGCGTAAGAATTAAATTCTTATGTTACATAAATAAGCTAGGACTTCCAAGTAACATTTAAAGCTCATTGGGAGAAGTTTATGCAAAGGACAACCTGTAGATTGATTAAGCTAATCACGCACAAATAACTACATTTATAATTTTAGCTCAAGAAAAAGGTATGTGCATTTATATATGCAGACATACACACACACATAAGCTGTTAGGAAGACTTACCCCTTGTGCATGAAGATATTCGACAGTTTTGGTTATGGTAAACAGGACAGCACTGGCTTCTCGTTCAGAGAAAAATTTCTGTCTAAGAATTTTATCCAGTAATTCACCTCCTTTCATAAGTTCTGTTACTACATACACATATTTTCCATCATCATATACCTATAAAATTTGATATCACAATGTAATAAATTATTTGAAGCTTTATGTGTACCTAAAAGAAAGTTTAGCATATTAAGTGGAAATTAAAACATTCAGGAGAAATTTTACTTGCCACAATTAATGGATGATATAACATTTGTAAACAATTTTATACACCTAAGAATATTAAATGAGGAATTGATGGGATTGTCAGAAAAATAACCTGTAATTTCCTTCTGTGAAACCTAACTCATGGCAATCCAAGTAACAATGGGCACTATACATCAATGAAAGGGTCCTGAACTTTTGCTGTTAGGGTTTGTTCCCTTCTCGATCTCTTACTATCTACTGTTAATGACAGAGACAAGCGTAGAGGTAACACTCTTGTGATTTCCTGGAATTTCTGCAATGACAGAACTTCTGTATTGATATACATAGAACTAATCAGTTACTCTGGTTGTGATTAAACCAAGAATTAAGGACAATGTTAAGTAGTAAGAAGAATTCCATCCAAACATACAGAAGTGTATCAGTGAACCTCTAATGTAGAGACATAAAGCTAGGTAGCATTTTGGACTTGTACTCCAGGCAATGCTTAATTGAAATAACCTCTGTATTATTCAGTTCTGGGGCTAGTGTTGTGGCATAGTAGGTAAAGCCATGGCCTGGGAATCAGGCATCCCGTATGAGTGGGGAGCCAGTTCATGTCTGATCTAGCTCCCTGCTAATGGCCTGGGAAAAGCAGCATTAGATTGCTCCTCAAGTGTTTGGGTCCCTGCCATCCACATGGGAGACCTGGATGTAGTTCCAGGCTCTTGCCTTCAGACAGGCTCAGAACTGGCCAATGCAACAACTTGGAGGAATGAACCAGTGGATGGAAGATCTCTCCATGTCTTGCCCTCTCTCTCTTTATCTCTGATTTTCAATTAAATAAATAAGTGCCAATCACCATAGTGTTACTGGAAACCTTTATTTAGTTCCTTAAGAGGTGTCAGGTACTATATATGTGCTGGGGTCCCAAATATGGAGAAAACAAAGGATCTGTCCTCAAATTTTTAATTTTAGTAGAGAAAAACAGATATGTAATTAAAAGTAAAGTGTTGCAGATACTGTAATAAAAGTTTGAGGGTAACTTTTAGAGACCGGAATTTGAAATGAAGGAAGAAACTAAGATGGAAAAAAAATACAAAAATCAAAAGTAACAACCTATGCAGTTTTCAAAGTAAGGTTACAGTTCATTTTTAATTTTCTGTTGGATTCTTTGAGAGTATGTTAATTAAAGAGACACTTATGTTTGCTTCATAATTTAATGTGACTAAGTTACCATTCATCATCTAATAATGAACAGTGATAAATTAAACTGAGGAAACTGGAGTGTTGATAACAACTAGATATGGTCTTTGAGCCTATGTGAACTCTATCAATAAGAGAGGACTTGGGGCTGGCGCTGTGGCGCAGCAGGTTAAAGCCCTGGCTTGAAGCGCCGGCATCTCATATGGGCGCCGGTTCAAGTCTTGGCTGCTCTTCTTCCAATCCAGCTTTCTGCCTGGGACAACAGTAGATGATGGCCCAAGTCCTTGGGCCCCTGCACCCGCATGGGAGACCTGGAAAAAGCTCCTGCCTCCTGGCTTCAGATCGGCGAAGCTCTGGCCATTGTGGCCATCTGGGGAGTGAACCAGCGGATGGAAGACATCTCTCTCTCTGTCTCTATCTTTCTCTGTAACTCAGTCTTTCAAATAAATAAAATAAATCTTAAAAAAAAGTTTAAAAAAGAGAGGACTTAATACTATTTGGGGAGTTCATGTCCTTTGCCAAGACTCTGTTGTAATAATAAAAGCCACAGGAGACATAGGTAGTAGGATAACAAGACAGCCCAGGAAAAGGAAACCTCACTAGTCCTGGGGGTAGCAACAGGCAGGGCAGGCCTCTTGGAAGAAGTGGTAACTTAGCAAAGTCTTAGATGTGTGCTATTCAGCCAGGCAAGGAAGGGAAACGGTGTGTCCAATCACTAAGGGAACCATACCCTCAAAGAGAGCAGCATGAGAAAGTGAAGCATACTCAGAAAACTGTACACACGAGAGCATGGCTAGAGAACATGGTGTGTGAGGAAGTGTGAAAACCACCAAAGTAGCAAGGGGCTGAGGGCCAGGAGTATCATCTGCAGGCAGAGAGTGACCTGGGTAAATATGAGGGTTAGATCTTTCAGGAAGTAAAGTGAAGATAGCTTGGGGAACATGCGAAGAGTAAGACTATTTAGTACTGAATAGCAACAGTAATATTAATATTGAACGTTGGACTATATGTCTAAGTAAATGCTGATGCTAAAAGCAACATCAGAAATACTTTTTAAAGCAGAAGTAGAAAAATGATATATTTCCTTTATAAATGGTACTAAACTTACTACATTAAGTTCTACCAAATGGTATTTGGGAATATTCCAAATTTTGAGACAAAAGATCCCCATGAAAGATCTACTTACGTCCTTTAGGGTAATAATGTTTGGGTGCTGTCCATAACGGAGAAGAATTTCAATTTCCTCAGTTGGATCTCTCTTGCTTTTATCAATAATCTAAAAGGTAAATATTGGTTACAAAACACCATGAACTATATGGTTGTCAACCTTAAAACAGCTATGGACCTGAGGTATTACCTTATACAAATACTGAAAGTATGAGCCATTTATCAATCAGTTTTACTCAGCTACCTGGCCAGACTGTGTCATTAAAAAGTCAGTTGTGGGGGGCTGGTGCTATGGTGTAGTGGGTAAAGATGCCGCCTGCAGTGCCGGCATCCCATGTGGGCCCAGTTCGAGTTCTGGCTGCTCCACTTCTGATCCAGCTCTCTGCTATGGCCTGGGAGAGCAGTGGAAGATGGCCCAAGTCCTTGTGCCCTGAAATCACATGGGAGATCCGGAAGAAGCTCTGGGCTCTTGGCTTTGGATCAGCCCAGCGCCGGCCATTGTGGCCATCTGGGAAGTGGATCAGCAGATGAAAGACCTCTCTCTCTCTCTCTCTCTGCCTCTCCTTCTCTATGTAACTCTGCCTTTCAAATAAATAAATAAATGTTAAAAAAAATTAGTTGTGGGGGGCTGGTGTGGTACAGCGGGTTAAGCCACCACTTGGAATGCCAGCATTCCATGAACGAAGGTTCCAATTCTGGCTGCTTCACTTCTGATCCATTTCCCTGCTAATAATGTACCTAGGAAAATAGTGGAAGATGCCCAGAGTATTTGGGTCCAGCCACAGCCATCTGGGGAATGAACCACTGGATGGAAGATCTATCTCTCCTTCTCTCTAACACCACCTTTCAAATAAGTAAATAAATAAATACGTAGAAAGAAAGCAAGCCAGTCTTATAGATGGAAAGCTGTGAATTCTAACCTATGAGGTTATATTCCTACCAGGTCTCTACAGTGTAAGTTTGGAATAAGTTTAAAACTTGATTAAAGACTCAAAAGCTTCAAGAGAAGGTACCAGCAACACAGTTAACATATATTTTCCTCCATCCTTGAATGTCATAAACATCTGGGAATTTAGTCAACTTCTTTTTGCTATCAATACAGATAATTAAGAGCTTTCTGTTTATATAACACCATCACTAGCATCTGTTTATTGAATTAGCTTTGCTTCATATAAATGCTGTAATGGAATATCCCATTAGTTGTAAGCTATTTATAAAAATTAATAGCTAAGTAGAACTTATTTTTGAAGCTAGGCAGAAAACTAAGCAGAAAAACCACACCTAGAAATTTCCCTTGGCTAGAATTAAGTTTAATTATTGTAATAAAACCCTTTAAAACACTAGTGTAGCTTTTTAATCCCTTTATGTCAGCTGCTTCTTAAAAATATTGCTCGATGTTTTGTTCTGTTAAAGTAACATGACATTTTTAAAAAGACGAGTTTTACTTGCAATTCAAAGGGTCGTCTGAAACAAATTCTGTGACCTCTGCATACTCAATTTTAAAACAGCTTAAAAATTAATGTGTGAATTAAATACCCAAACACTCTAGCAACCTAGAAAAGAGCTTACAACACTCACTACGAACCCAATCATTTATCTGAAATGGATTTAGTTGTAAAACAGTTCTGTATTTGGAGAACAAGGAAGACAAACACAGGTGTCCACTGTAATCAACTGCAAATGACAGTGTGGAATTTGGCAAATGGATGATTATGAGTTGCATATGGAATAAGCTAATTCAAGAGAGATGATCTGGGACTAAGCTTTTGAAAACAAGAACACTCAGGGAGGTGCTATTTTTGGCAACATTTTCTGATCTGCTAATCTGAGGCTCAGAATACATTATCTTCATGACTTATGCTTGTGGGGTCCACATTTATAATAATTTCAATAGAATCCAGTTGTGTTGGGATTGGTTTTATGAATCTAATTTAAATCACAAGAATCTACAAATAGCTTGGAGGTATTCTGAAGGCTTTGGGAATACTGCTTCTGGTTTCTGTAATCCAAAGGGAGCCTAAGACGTTGCTGCTTTTTCAACGTGTTTATGGAAAAAGCACATAATAAAACTCGCCCACCAAGTATGTTATTCTTCTTCTCTCCTTTCATGTAAGCAATTTGGAAATTTCTATGTAATCTGGAGAAAAGAATAAGAGCACAGAAACTTAAATGTATTTCTATGATTCATCATTATATGTGGCAGAAAGCCTTATGGACAATGAAGACTTTCTAAAGTAATTACATCCAATTTTAGAGTAATAACAATGAATGTCACTCTCTCACTAACTAAACATGAGCTACCCATATTTATGAACTAGCCTTAAGGTTCCAGATAAGTTGAAATCTACAGAGAAGATTTGAATTGCTTGAGATGGGAAAGCAGAGGTTACTACCTTAAGAATTCAAAAGGCAGAGACTTGAATATACTATTTGTTCACTTATAGCTAATGGTCTAAATTCAAACTTTTTCACAGAGCTAGGTGTCTTGGTTTTTGGCTCTTTTAATTTCACCAGGTATCTCAAAACAGACATTCTGATGAGATACCTGATGAAATTGAAACAGCTAATAGTGATAAATTTTATGACAGTGGTTTTAATTCTTGTATTGGTTCACAGAGCCTTTTAGATATGAAGGTATGAGCTTTTTGTCAAAAAATATAAACATACACCAATTTGTTATACAGTTTTAGAAATTTTCTGACACCCTGACCAGAAAACGGGAACTTTCAAGTATAAAAGGGGTATTATTAAAAATCATGTGAAAAAGAATATCATGTCAGGGGATAAGTGCCTGAGTTCAAGTCCTGGCACTGCTCCCAATTTTGGCTTCTTTCTGATGCACACTGTGGGAGGCAATACATGATGGTTCCAGTGGTTGGGTCTCTGGCCCCCATTTGGGAGGCCTAGATTGAGTTCCTGGCTCTTGCCTTTGCCCTGGCTCATCTCCAGCAATGGTCAGCATTTGGGGAGTAAACCAGCAGCAGAGAACACTGTCTCTGTCTCTCTGACTGGTCAAATAAAAAGAAATTTTGGGGTTGGCGCTGTGGTATAGTGGGTAAAGCTTCCACCTGCAGTGCTGGCATCCTATATGGGCTCCAGTTCAAATTCAGGCTGCTCCTCTTCTGATCGTACTCTCTCCAACAGCCTAGGAAGGCAGTGGAGGATAGCTCAAGTGCTTGGGCCCCTGCACCTGCGTGGGAGACCTGGAGGAAGCTCCAGGCTCCTGGCTTTGGATCGACGCAGCCCTGACTGTTGTGGTCATTTAGGGAGTGAACCAGCAGATGGAAGATCTTTCTCTTTCTCTTTCTCTCTGCCTCTCTCTCTCTCTCTCTCTGCCTCTCTCTCTGCCTCTCTCTCTCTCTCTCTCTGCCTCTCTCTCTCTCTCTGCCTCTCTCTGACTTTCTCTCTCTGCCTCTCTCTCTCTGCCTCTCTGTAACTCTGCTTTTCAAATAAATAAATAAATCTTTACAAAAAAAAGAAATTATGTGAGGCATACTGGGTATATGGCTACTTCATTTTTAGGCTAGAAGGGGAATCCACGCTTCTAGATCTCTGAAGATCCCTAGTCAGATATTTAAATTTACATTGACTTTTTATAACAAAAGGTTTAACAACAATAACAAAAAAGAGTGTAGTTCTCAACTGGTACTTACATGCATGAGTAAGAACTGTGAGAGTTGTATTTTAAATGTAAAAACATTTACCTTCACTGCAAACTCCATGTTTGTGGCTTTATGTATACATCTCTTGCAAACAGAGTATGATCCAACTCCAATATCTTCTTTTACTTCATATCCATCAGTAAACTGGATACTGTTCCTGTGCAATTGCTGCAAATGAAATGATAAATTGATGAAGAGTTCCGTACTCTTTCTTTTTAGCATACTTGAAAATAGAGGAATATGTTACTGAGTATGCATTGCTGATATTAAGTTAAAATAGAAATGAGTATCAGTAAAAATAAATTATAGCACTAATTCTTTACAAGGGCACTTTTTAGTAAGTTTCTACAATAAAATATTCAGCAAAAAATATACATTTAAAACCACTTATTTTTTTTTTAAGATTTAGTTTTATTTGAAAGGCAGAGTTACAGAGAGGGGTGGGAGGGAGATCAATCTTCCATCTGCTGGGTCACTCCCCAAATGGATGAAAGGGCCAGGGCTGGGCCAGGCCAAAGCCAGGAGCCCAGAGTTCTTCCGGGTCTCCCACTTTGGTGCAGGGGCCCAAGCACTTGGGCCACATTCCTCTGCTTTCCCAGGTGCATTAGCAGGGAGCTGCAATTCGAAGTGGGGTAGCCAAGTCTCGAACAACTGCCCATATGGGATGGTAGCTACAGCTGGCAGCTTTATCCACTATGTCACAATGCCAGCCCCCAGAACGCTTATATTAAAAAGAAGAAACTGGCGGGGCTGGCACTGTGACGCCACGGGTTAATGCTCTGGCCTGAAGCGCTGGCATCCCATGTGGGTGATGGTTCAAGACCCAGCTGCTCCACTTCCAATCTGGCTCTCTTCTATGGCTTGGGAAAGCAGGAGAAGATGGCCCAAGTCCTTGGGCCCCTGCACCCATGTTGGAGACCCAGAAGAAGCTCCTGGCTTCGGATTGGCACAGCTCTGGCCACTGCAGCCAATTGGGGAGTGAACCAGCAGATGGAAGACACCTCTCCCTCCCCCCCCCTCTCTAACTCTGACTTTCGAATAAATAAATAAATCTTTAAAAGAAGAAGAAACTGCGGCTAGCATTGAGGCATAGTGGGTAAAGCTGATCCACTCTCAATCCAGCTCCCTGATAATGATCTGGTAAAAGCAGCAGAAGATGGCCCACCTCTTTGGGCCCCTGCCACCAACGAGGGAGATTCGCATGAAGTTCCTGGCTCCTGGCTTCAGCCTGGCCCAGCCCTAGCCATAACAGCCATCTGAGGAGTGAACCAGTGGACTGAAGATTTCCCTTTCTCTTTCAAATAGTAAATAAGTCTTTAAAAAAAATAAAGAAGAAATTGAATATGTACACCAGAAAAAGCAGAGTTACTTGATAAGGGGTCCATAGCTTTCTCTGTAATTTTGCCCAATTTGACTTCTGAAGCACCTTTGCAAATGAGAAGTCTAATGTCTCTGGTATAGAAGAAAAAGATTTAGGAGGATTCAGAATTAGAATATTTTCACTATTGTTTCAGACGTATCACTTACAGACTGTGTAACCTATTGAGGATTAAATACAAATGGTGTAACATCATTCTGGACTTTCTGTAGTCAGATTCCCTCTTTTCTTACCCTCAGATCACAGCTTTATGCAACTTCTGTTGAAGAAGCTATTCATGGGTTAGGGACAAACAGTAAAATTATTGGTTCCATAAGAGGCTGAGAAGAAAGTCATGCTGCCCTTAACTTTGCTGACATGAGACTCTCCAGACCTATGAGCTTTGTACAGGTTAAAACTTGAATTCTGGAGAATAGGTTTGTGGTTTCTATTTTAGGTATAGAAATTGTAATTTAAAAACTTTCCATATATTCATGTGCTTACTTGGTTAAAGGGACAGACTACTCATACTTCAACATGAGTTTTGCTTAACACTGAAGTTGGTTTTCTTGGATAGCAAAATGAATGTCTCACATACACAAAAAAGATAAGAGCAAAAGCAACTTAATCATGAAAACACTAATGATATCTTAAAAACAATTCAATACTTCAAAAAATTGATGCCATTCCCTCTCTGATTAGAAAGATGAATTAAATTTATATTTCTATAGTATTAGAATGGGAAAAATCAATCTAGTAGACTGTAGTACTTGTGCTCCTATAGCATTATGTACCACTCCAGTCTCTTGTTACGCACTTACCCTTTCCCCACTGCCCATTCCCATCCACATACCTACAATCTGCCCCTTTGGCCTATTATCTATTTTTTTTTTTTTTTTGCCAATTCTGATAAACAATAGGAAAACGAAGCATGAGGTACTCAGCCACTTCTTCCTAATGACAGTGGGGGTTCCAAAGGAATGAAGATGCAAAACTATTATAAGGCATAAAGGAGCCAGGAGACCTTAATCCATCACAGCTGGACTAACAGTCAGAGGATAAAATAAACCAGGCCTGACAAACACTGAGGCACAGGAGGCAGAGAGGCAAGGCAGTGATTTTTATCTCTATTTTCATAAAATTACACTTTCAAGTCACATAGATATCCAGGATTTTGGTTCATGTAACCTTGTCAATGACATATGAAAAGAATTTCTAAGAGTAATATTAGGGGCCGGCGCTGTGGCATAATGGATAAAACTGCCGCCTGCAGTCCCAACATCCCACATGGGTGTGCCAGTTTGAGTCCTGGCTGCTCCACTTCCTTTCTTCTTTCTTTCCTTTTTTTTTTTTTTTTTTTTGACAGGCAGAGTGGACAGTGAGAGAGAGAGACAGAGAGAAAGGTCTTCCTTTGCCGTTGGTTCACCCTCCAATGGCCGCCACGGCTGGCGTGCTGCGCTGATCGATGGCAGGAGCCAGGTACTTATCCTGGTCTCCCATGGGGTGCAGGGCCCAAGGACTTGGGCCATCCTCCACTGCCCTCCCTGGCCACAGCAGAGAGCTGGCCTGGAAGAGGGGCAACAGGGACAGAATCCGGCGCCCCAACCGGGACTAGAACCCGGTGTGCCGGCGCCGCAAGGCAGAGGATTAGCCTAGTGAGCCGCAGCGCCGGCCCTGCCCTGCTTCCGATCTAGCTCTCTGCTATGGCCTAGAAGAGGAGTGCAAAATGTCCCAAGTCCTTCGGCCCCTGCCCCTGCATGGGAGACCCAGAAGAAGCTCCTGGCTTCGGATTAGTGCAGCTCTGGCCGTTGCGGCCATCTGGAGAGTGAACCAAAGGATGGAAGACCTTTCTCTCTCTTCCTCTGTGTAACTCTGACTTTCAAATAAATAAATATTTTTTAAAAAAGAGTAATATTGATACAAAGTGTATTTTAAGCTGTCTAGCTCATGAAATATATTTATACAATGAACTGTACCTCATAACATTTAAAATTTAAAATTATTAGACACGCACTCACCTGAACAATTGAATGTACACCAACTGTCTGCATTGCTTGGCTTTCATCGTCTGAGGTAATAGCAACAAAACTAAACCCCCGAAAGAGCTGGTGTGCATTAGCACTAGGTGGAATGCCGGGTGAATCTGAAAAGAGCAAAAAATTTTATGAAGATTCTTTTGAAAGGTAATTATATACTGACTGCAGTCCAGGATACCTCAGTACTGTATTGGATATGATCTGATCACTTATTGCCACAACAATTCTAACTTCGTTCCCTCAGGGACTAGAAAACAGCCAATTCATTTGAGGAATATAATAAATAGTTACTGGGTTAATGGTATTCAAACATTAACCCTATCCCATCAAACTTCCTAGAATGAAGGAAATTGTCTTTATCTGTGCTGTCCAATATGGTAGCCACTATACACATGTCAATACTGAGCATTTCAAATATGCCTCGTCATCTTGGAAAACATTTTCTGATCAACAAGACAAACATGTATTCATTGTCTTATATTTGGGTTTTCATGTTTTCTCTTTACCTTTGGGAGTTTTTGCAGTAAATTCAGGATCAAAATAGAATGTATCTTCAGGCCTACCAGTTGCAGGTTTAAAAGGTGGATGAATTTCTCTCCTATATAGTTTCTGGAGAGAAAAAAGAGACTTAGACATGTGTTAATTATAAAAATATTTCAAGCAAAGTTCCATTCCATACTTACATTCCAGTCTATTGTTGAGAAAAATGAATGTCTCTTAATCTCTTCAACTCCATCTGGTCCTGCGCCTATCAAAAATTGATTGGGAATTTTTATTTCAAGGATAAATGTATGTGAAAACACTGCACAGAGTTTTACTACTTGTTTGAACATTTAACAATCTCATCACAAAAACAAATATCTATCACCCACCCCTCAACAAAAAAAATCAAAACATGAAAGAAAAAATTAATTAAAATTTTTACCTAATCTGTTGGCTGGATTTCGTTTGAAAAGCATTCGTAAAAGACTCTGGGCTTCAGGACTCAAAAACTGTGGCATCCCAAGTTTGGCTCTAAATAACAAATCCATATAACAAAGTTTCATTTTTTGGAGGTGTATGTATTTTTATTTTTAAATGCTTTGAATTAAATCTTCTGAGATACCTGTAGATAGCCCCAGTTGTATTTGCCATGTGTGTATGTATTTAGTTCTAAGCCATTTTTTAAAAAAGATTTATTTATTTATTTGAAGGCAGCTACAGAGAGAGGGAGAGATAGAGATTGATCCTCCATCACCCTTTATTACCCAAATGGCTGCAATGGCAGGGCTGGGCCAAGCCAAAGCCAGGAGCCCAGAATTTCTCGTCTCCCACTTGGGTGGCAGGGGCCCAAGTATTTGGGCCATCTTCCATGGTCTTCCCAGGCACATTGGCAGGGAGCTGGATTGGAAGTGGAGCAGCCAGGACTCATCATATCTGTGCTCATATGGATTGCTGGTGTCACAGGTAGTGGCTCAACTCATGGTATCACAATGCTGGCCCCAAGTTCTAAGCCATTTCATCACACACATACCGGCTCTTCTATGCAAGTATCACAGTTTATTCAGAAATCTGCCTATTGAAGGATATCTGGATTGTGTCTGGTTTTGGACTATCATGAATAAAGCTGCTATGAATATTCCTGTACAGGCTTGTTCGAACACACAATTTCAGTCCATAATCTAATGAACTTTTTCATTTTTCAGCTTTCTGCAAAGAGCACTACTGTGAAAGTAAGATCATCTGAGTCTTAGCTCTTAGTTCTATTATTAAGAACTTTGTGACCTTTGGAAAGTCAATCCTTTTTGGCCTGTTGCCACTATTTCATAAGAGGACTGGATGCTATGCTAATGGCTCCCAAGCTGTAGCCTTGGAACCCCTTTCCAAAGGGAATTTAAGCAATCCAATATTTACAACTCGTAAGAGAACATGTGCTTCATCTTCTAATTCCCCTTCCTATTTCCTTTCGTAGTTCCTGAGGGAAGGGCAACTGGTGGGAGAAGGGTTTGTGGGACATTCGAGACTCTGACACACAGTCTGAAAACCAGTGGCCTGGATGAGCTTGAAGGCCTCTTTTAGCTGCAATATATAATTTTACTCTTTTCCTAACCTACAAATTAAAGAAACCAAGGATCCTGTAAGTATGACAATAATAACAGAGCTGCTGAAGGTTCCTATTTCAGAAATGGATTCACTTATTATTCAGTGAGCTGTTTCTGCGCTCCTACACTACTTAGTGCTCAGGATGATTCCTGTGGTCAGGGGAAGGTAGATATAGATAGCTCTAGCACAATGAGAGACAAACTCAGAGAAAAATGTGGCAAAAGTGTCAGGGGGTGGTAGGGGTTATCTAATTTAACATGAGAGATCATGACAGGATTTAAATATAATGCAAAAGTTGAAAATGAACATTTATTTACTTGGCCAGCACTTTCTAAAATTTTACTGAATAACATTAATCCTTCTAGATTTTTAGCAACAACAAAAATATTTCATGAGCTTATCAATTTATAGACTGTTATCTATTCTAATCCTTGTTGTAGACAGGAAATAAAATATGCTGCATATAAAAGGCCAAAAAAAGCAGACCCCCCAAAAATGTATTTTCTAAACATGTGCTTGCAGTACCTCTTTTTTAGACAACACTTATTAACACTTTGTAGAATTTAGGGTTCTGCTGAACAAAACTGGGGAAACACTACTGTATTAAGTAACAGGAATGTAGCAGAAGTCTTGAAGCAGGCGACTAACATCACCAAACTGATTTTCAAGAAGGTAATTCCATGGTTGTTGAGAGCAATCTGGAAGGTTAGGTGGTTTGGGTAAGAGGTCACCATGGCCTGAGCAGTTAGCAGTACAATGAGGAAGAAGGGCTAGAACACTGAAACAGTTCGGGATAGGATTTGGAGAGTACCTGGATATACAAGAGTGAGGATGGGCCAGCGCCGCGGCTCACTAGGCTAATCCTCCGCCTAGCGGCGCCGGCACACCAGGTTCTAGTCCCGGTCGGGGCGCTGGATTCTGTCCCGGTTGCCCCTCTTCCAGGCCAGCTCTCTGCTGTGGCCAGGGAGGGCAGTGGAGGATGGCCCAAGTGCTTGGGCCCTGCACCTGCATGGGAGACCAGGAGAAGCACCTGGCTCCTGGCTTCTGATCAGCGTGGTGTGCCGGCCGTGCCGGCCATTGGAGGGTGAACCAACGGCAAAGGAAGACCTTTCTCTCTCTCTCTCTCTCTCTCTCTCTCTCTCTCTCTCTCTCTCTCTCCCTCCCTCCCTCCCTCCCTCCCTCCCTCCCTCCCTCCTTCTCTCTCTCACTGTCCACTCTGCCTGTCAAAAAAATAAAAATAAAAAATAAAGCTGCTGGGACAGCAGCTTTAAAAAAAAAAAAAAAAAGAGTGAGGATGAAATCAAGAATGATGTCCAGATTTCTGGATTGGGATAGAGGGTACACAGAAATGCTGCTAATTGGTGGTTCAAAAAGAGGAAAAGAACATCAAAGTGAGATCAATTGAAAGATGTGAAGTCATGCATGCTGTGTGTTTTGGGACAGCTAGGCAGGCAGGTGGGTAATGGGAAATGCAGGTCTGGTGCCTGTAGATGGAAGAAAGAATACATGTAACCTTGAAGACAGAACATTTAAAAGGTGAAAAGGAACAATTTGGGCATGAAAAATAATAAACGCAAACATATTCACATTGATCACTAAATTCCATGAGTTCATCACAGTAAAAAAAGAAAAAAGGCAAAACTAAATTAAAAACCTAACTCACTGGACATTGCATTCAATGGGAATAACTAGGGCCCAAACGATCAGAATTAACTAAGAAAAGGTTAAAAAGTATTTGTTCTAATTTTCTTTTAACTTGAAATTTATTTTAAGTTAACTAAAAAGACCTGTTGATGAAGGAAAGTTCATTGTCTCAGAAAAATAACTGTTATTTTAATTAAAAATTATCATTTTTAATTCCTTATAAGTGTTTCAAATAATGATTATGAATGAACGAAACCTTAGTTATAAGGCTGACCGAGAACTTTACAATGGCAGGAATTGCCGTAACTACTGAATCCCACCACTTAAGAGTCAGACGACTAGATACTGTAAGCCTCCTGATGGAATGCAACAGGGAGCACAGAACTGAAACTATAAAATAATCTTGCCAAAAAGTTTAACCAAAAACAGGATAGAGGAAAAAGTTAAAATCACAAGAATAAAAAAGTTTCCACACTCCTAGGAAAAGACTGTTATGTAACCATGGTAACAAGAAAACCACCAGCACTGGTTTTTAAACTTTTGATTTATTTAATTTGAAAGACAGAAAGAGACAGACAGACAGACACCTCCTATTCACTGGTTCCCTTCCCAAATGCCCGTGGAACTAGGAACACACTCCAGGTCTCCCACATGGGTGGCAGGGACCCAACTACTTGAGCCATCAACTGCTGACTCCCAGGTTGTACATGAGACAGAAGCTGGAATCAAGAACAAAGCTGAGACTCCAATCCAGGCACTGATATGGGGTGCCAATGTAACAAGCAGAGACCTATCTGCTCTGCAAATACCTTACCCCAAGAATTGATTTTAAATCCTTTCAGTTTTTCTTATTTATTTATTTATTTTACAGGCAGAGTGGAGAGTGAGAGAGAGAGACAGAGAGAAAGGTCTTCCTTTTGCCGTTGGTTCACCCTCCAATGGCTGCCACGGCCGGCGCACTGCGGCCGGTGCACCACGCTGATCCGATGGCAGGAGCCAGGTACTTCTCCTGGTCTCCCATGGGGTGCAGGGCCCAAGTACTCGGGCCATCCTCCACTGCACTCCCGGGCCACAGCAGAGAGCTGGCCTGGAAGAGGGGCAACCGGGACAGAATCCGGCGCCCCGACTGGGACTAGAACCTGGTGTGCCGGCGCCGCAAGGCGGAGGATTAGCCTAGTGAGCTGCGGCGCCAGCCAGTTTTTTCTTTTTTAGATTCATGCCAAGAGGCAGGAGCCAGAACCTTCTTGCAGGTCTCCCACTTGGGTAGCAAGGCCTCAAGCACTTGGGCCAGCTTCTGCTTCTTTCCCAGGTACATTATCAGGGAGTGCGACTAGAAGCGGTGCAGCCAGGACTCAAAGTGGCACCCAAATGGGACACTGGTGCTGCAGATCGTGGCTTAACTCACTGTCTACAGTGCTGGTCTTTTCAATTGGTTAAGTACACTGAATTGGTCAATGATAATTTTTGCCTGGTAAACACTTTTGTAGGCCAACCAGTGATTGTTCTTTGTCTATGAAAATTAGCCAGATAGAAACGGACTCACTTGAGCACACCTGAGTGCCAACAATTCCATCCAAGTAATCACATTCTTACAGATCATGTCAAATCCCTTATGGACCTGAAAATCTGCCAATTTTTGAGCTCCATCCTTCATTAAAACCCTATATAAGCTTGGAGGTCTATACTGCTTCGAAAGACTACCAGAACAGCAGTGTCCTCCGTTAACATTAGCATCAGCAGCAGTAAAATCAGCTTTCTTACACTGGTATACACAGTATCCTCTTGGAAAATTTCACTTTCTGTTGTGTATTAGCTTTTCGTTACTATACCTGAGGCAGGCTACTTAATTAAGAAAACAGGGCTATTCTGGCTCATGGTTCTGGAAATTCAAATTCTAAACAGCATGACAGAGGCCTTAGTGAGGGTCCCTCTTGGCTGCATCATATCATGGCAGAAGCATACATGTCTGTCTCTGTTGGTCTCTTTCCCTTTCCCTATAAAACCACTAGGATTCACTCATTGGGGCTGAACCCTAATGAATAAATCCAATACAATCATTTTCCCACAGTCCCACCTATAAACCATGATTGGATTAAGTTTCCGGTGTCTTAGTGTCATTAACATAAGACTGGGGACAACACTCCTGCTTGAGAGGTGGGCAGCCAATCTTCAAATAGCATGTTGCTATTGTACAGACACGAAACAGATTTTTGTTTATTGACTTTGTAACAATGAATTTTACTGAACTCTTAACTAATTCAAAAAATTTAAATGCTGATTGGATTTCTATGCAGTCATGTTATCTAAGTCATGACAATTTTTCTTTCGTTTTTAAGAAAGACTTAACACCTTTTTTTGTCCACCTTACCAATACTGGCTAGCACCCCACAGACAATGTGACAGAATTAGGAGCATGACTGTTGTATTCCAAATCTCAAAGGTAAAGCCTTTAATATTTCACCACTAACATAAAAATAATATATCGAGTACTCTGAGTCTATGCAGTGTCCTAGTGTTTAAACATGTAAAACCGACGAATTTCTTAATTATGTCTTTTATTACTGCTGATATTCTAACACCTAATTTTTCAGTCCAAAGCATTTATTTTTAAAAATATTATCTTTTGGGGGCTGGCGCTGTGGCACAGTGGGTTAAAGCCCCAGCTTGCAGTGCCAGCATCCCATATGGGCGCCGGTTTGAGTCCCGGCTGCTCCTCTTCCGATCAAGCTCTCTGCTGTGGTCTGGGAAAGCAATAGAAGATGGCCCAAGTGCTTGGGCCCTAGCACCAGCGTGGGAGACGTGGAGGAAGCTCCTGGCTCCTGGCTTCAGATCAGCTCAGCTCTGGCCATTGTGGTCATTTGGGGAGTGAACCAGCGAAATGGAAGACAACTCTCTCTCTCTGGCTCTACCTCTCTCTCTGTAACTCTTTCAAAGAAATAAAGTAATTCTGAAAAAAAAATTACCTTTTGAGTCGGGGAGAACATAAGTACATGCTCCCATCCACTGGTTCACTCCCCAAATGCCTGCCAGGCTGAAGGGAACTCAATCTAGGTCCCCCACCTGGGTGACATAAATCCAAGCACTTAAGCCACTGCTAATGCCTCCCAGTTCGGCAGAAAGCCAGAATCAGGAGTTGGGCATTGAATCCAGGCATTCCAATGTGAGACATGACTGTACCAACTTGCACCTTATTTGCTAGGCCAAATACCTGCTGCTGGAGCATTTAAAATCACAACAAAACATCTCTAATAGAGAGTACTTACTTAAGAATCATAGTCATTGTTTCTTTTCGATCTTTTCCTTGGAACGGTAATGTACCAGTGAGCATTTCAAACTACAGAAAGGCAAAATAATCAGAGTTATTTAGCCACCAAGAATAAAATCTCTAGGCTAATAGTTAAAAAAAAACTTAATTATAACCAAATCTTTTAAAATTGCTACATAGTAAAATAAGTGTTGTATATTTCCATCATATTCACTGCTCAATTTCTTGAGAATTCCTAAAAGATATTTGGGGTATATAGCTCTTTTTCAAAAATCAATTATGTTTTAAATGGCAATTACAGTGTATATAGGTGAATAATTTGAGAGATATGCCAACTTCATACAAACTTATTTTAAGGGTTACTTACTATAAATTTCTGGGGTACGTTCACCCAAACAGTAAACAACATTAATACTTTATATTGTTACTGTTAGTAAAAATTCTAGGTTAACCTATTTTTGCCTTTTCCAATCAGGAAGAAGATAGAACCTATTAATAGGTTCCAGAGTCCTCCATGGTATGCAAGAATTTTTCTTGGTTATTTATTACATAAGCTATAAGATTTATAACATAAAACATCAGTTTCTCTCATAACATTCACTGCTGATTCTCATTTAAGAAACAAAACAATAACTCTCAAGCCCCCAAAACCAAAAACCTAAACCTTACCATTAACACACCAAATGACCACCAGTCAGCACTCTGAGTATGACCACGACGATTAACTACTTCTGGAGCCATATATTCCACAGTTCCACAAAAAGAATATGCCTTCTTTTCATGGTCAATAGACTCTTTACTTAGGCCAAAATCTGTCAAAGTAAATATTTGATTCATAAATATCCTATAGTAATTTACATGGGTAAATTTTCAAGTTTGAGTTCTAACATTTATATTAATTACTAAAAGAACAACTTTTAAGATAATGTATTATTTAATATTTGTACCACAATCAGGAAACTATAGAGTAGGAGAAATATTTTAATAAAATGAGAATTCTACCTGTTAACTTGATGTGACCTTCTTCATCAAGAAGTATGCTGAAAAAAAAAGTGAGATCTTTTGAAACTATTAAATACATATTTTAGAAGCTAAAATTGAAGCCACTTTAGAATCATTCTAAAATAAATGACTTTAGACTCAAAAAAAAAAAAAAAAAAAGGCCAGGGTAAAACAGGGAAACATTTTAGGCACACATTTATAAAAAAAAGCTAAAGGTAATGCTATAAACCTCTAGGAGCACTTAAAAACTAGTATGCATGAGGCCAATCTGCAAAGGGCTTATAGGCTTCTTCCTTCAGAAAAGGTGTACAGAAATGGAGGGTAAAGACAATCAGATCTGCAACTTAAGAAAACACCACAGGGTAAATAAAGGGCATCTAGTTAGCTCTTTGGCTCATGGTAAAGATCAACAGGAGAATGATGTCCAGGTTTTTGGCTTGAGTAGATACTTGAGCGGAGAGTAATACCATTAAGTACTAAGCTGGGGGCCAGTGCTGTGGCACAGTAGGTTTATCCTCCGTCTGTGGTGCCGGCATCCCATATGGGCACCAGTTCTAGTCCTGGCTGCTCCTCTTCCAATCCAGCTCTCTGCTGTGGCCTGGGGCGGGGGGGGAAGCAGAGGATGGCCCAAGTGCTTGGGTCCCTGCACCCACATGGGAGGCTGGGAAGAAGCTCCTGGCTTCTGGCTTAGGTGCAGCTCTGGCAGTTGCAGCCATTTGGGGAGTGAACCAACGGAAGGAAGACCTTTCTCTCTGTCTCTCCCTCTCACTGTAACTCTCCCTCTCAAATAAATAAATAAAATATTTTAAAAAGTTATTTGTATAAAACTACTGAAATTTGACTTAAAAAAAAGTACTAAGCTGTAGGCCAGTAACTGTTTCTAAATAGGTATTTTACTGTAATGACTTGAAAGGTCAAGTAATAAACTGTTTCTCATGTATATATTTTAAAGATTTACTTATTTGAAAAGCAGAGTGACAAAGATAGAGTGACAGGCAGAGACAGAGTATGAGAAAGATCTTCCATCTAGTAGTTCTCCAAATTCCCATAGCAGCTGCGGCAGGACCAGACTGAAGCCAGGAGTCTGGAACTCCATCCATTGCCTCCCATGAGAGTGGCAGGTATCCAAGTATTTGGGTCATCATCTGCTGCTTTCCCAGGTATACTAGCAGGAAGCTGGATCAAAGCCAAGTAGCTGGGATTTAAATTGGCACTCTGATCTGGAATGTGAGTGCCCCAAAAGGTGGTTTAACCTGCTGCACCACAATGTGTGCCTGCCTCTGTTTGACTTACATTTAAAGCTATCCCATTATACAGTCATTTCCTTTTAATTCTAAATAAAAATTGTACAAGTAAAATGACTTAATACAATTTTACTATGATAAAAAAATACCAACAACCTTTCTACTTTATCAATTCAAACATAACTACTAAAGTTTACCATTGAGGGTAATTCAGTAGGGGCATACTTTCAAATCTCTTTAAAACAAAGAACTTATTTTTGAAAACAACAACAACAACAACAACAATCTGGATGATGTTTGATTAAGATGCAGACCAACACATTTAGGGGAATATAAAGGGCATTATTGGGGCCAGCACTATGGCGTAGCAGGTAAACCTGCTGCCTACAGCGCCAGCATCCCACACATAGGCTCTGGTTTGAGACCTGGCTGTCCCTGCTCCCTGCTAATGGCCTGGGAAGATGGCCCAAGTAGTTGGACCCTGCCACCCACGTGGGAAGACCTGGAAGAAGCTTCTGGGTCCTGGTTTCAGCCTGGGCCAGCCCTGGCTGCTGTGGCTATCTGGGGAGTGAACAAGTGGATGAAAGCCCTCTCTCCCTCTCCCTGTGACTCTGACATTCAAATAAATAATCGATTTTACAAAAAAATAAAAGTCGTGGGAAAAATCACAAAAGTAAAGATTAACACCTGACAGAGGGGAAGAAAGTGAGTAGATTACAACATAAAGTTAAAAATAAAGAGTGGAAAAATATATTTTAAACACATGTCAAATGCCTGAAATCCTTAGTTTGTAAAGTTCTCTTATAAATCAATGAGAAAAGCAATATTCTAAAAAAAAAATGAGCAAAGGACATTTATGAACAGCAAACCTGCCCAAAAATACAAATTGCCATCTAGTCTACTTGTTAAGATGCCACTGTCTGCCGGCGCCACAGCTAGATAGGCTAATCTTCCGCCTGCGGTGCTGGCACACCAGGTTCTAGCCCTGGTTGGGGCACCAGATTCTGTCCCAGTTGCCCCTCTTCCGGGCCAGCTCTCTGCTGTGGCCCGGAAAGGCAGTGGAGGATGGCCCAAGTGCTTGGGCCCTGCACCCCATGGGAGACCAGGAGAAGCACCTGGCTCCTGCCTTCGGATCAGCGTGGTGCACGGGTTGCGGCAGCTATTGGAGGGTGACCAACAGCAAAGGAAGACCTTTCTCTCTGTCTCACTGTCCACTCTGCCTGTCCAAAAAAAAAAAAAAAAAAAAAGCCACTGTCCCAGATCAAAGTGCCTAGGTTCAAAGCTCGCCTCAAGTAATTGGGATCCTGCCACCCATGTGGCAGGCCTGAACTGAATTCCCAGTTCCTAGCCTTGGTCAGGGCCACTGTGGGCATTAGGGAGTGGATGGGAACAACTTCTCTCTCACTTTCTTTCTTTTAAATAAATTACCAATTTACATAGATTTCAACCTCATTAAAAATCAAAGAATGTAAATGGAAACAAGATATTTTTTGATTAACTGAAATTTTAAAAGTCTGAGAATACATAGTATTAGTACAGATGTGAAACACAGGCCCTCTAGTGCAAAGCTGTGGGAAGTTCTATGAAGTTACTCTATTTTTTAAGACATCCAAAATAATATTACATTGTAGTCAGCTTAGTAGCATGATTCCTTACTTTTCTGGCTTTAAGTCTCTATAGATTATTCCCAGGCTATGTAGATGGTCTAAAGCAAGTGCAAGTTCAGCCAAGTAGAATTTGACATCTTCTTCTGTGAACATCACCTGAAATAAAATATTTTTTTTCTGAGTTTATTTTTTCTTTGTGTCTGTGATTTTTATTTAAAGCTTTAGAGTTTAAACATTCATTGAATTTATAAATATGCTAATTATTCACAGCTTTAGCCACAACTTACTTATGAACGGAATTTGCAAAAATTATTTACTCAGTCAACCACAACGATCTACTAAACACTAACTATGCACAATAAGGGGAAATAAGTTTACATATTAAGTAACAATCATATTCAGGTTGTGACACTGTTGGCCCACCACAGTAACATTTCAGAAATTAAAAGTGATGTTGAAAATACTGAATTTCTGTTACTAATTGTTTAAAGATACCTTATCGATATATTATGGCTTTTCAGACAACTATTACTAAAGCTGGGCTAAGACAATGATAGTTTGTCAATTTAAAGTCCTGCCTTCAGAAAAGGTTCATAAGGTAGGAAATTAACTCCTTCTGGGTCAGGTTCTTCAATGTAAGAATCTTGTGTCACTAGAGAACACAATGGCTGTAATACTGAAATACAACAAAACATGAGTTGAAACAGGATGAGTATAAACAGATTAAAAATAGAGATTAATTACATACCTCTTTGGATAATCGTGTAAACAAATCTCCTCCCCTGAGAAAATCCAAAATAAGATACAACTTTCCTTCAGTCTGAAAAGCTGAATGAAGAAATGAAAATTTCCATTTAATCCACCATAGTTTATTTTTCAAGGTTTACATTAGGTTAGTTCATAAATGAGTATTATTTTTAGAAAATTAATGATAATATTATAGATTTAAACTTATTTTTACTTAAAAGGAAACTAACCATTGATTTCCCCTAGTTTGTTCATGTGGAAACACTAAATTAAGTTTTTTTTAAATTTCAGATTTTCTATAGGCAAGAGTCTCTCAGGAATACAATAGCTTTGAACATCATCAGTAAGAAAAACTTGCAACAGAAAGACTTATTTAACTATACAACAAAATAAAAAAAAAAGAAAAGGCCACTAACCACAGGGGGGAAAATGTGAGTTGGTTAGATTTAATCATACACACTAAGGCTCACTAGATCTTTATCCACTGAGAAAAAGCATAAGGCTTTCGGGAAAAGAAAAGTGATAGTTTTACAACTTCCAAATTAGAGATCTTTCTTGCCTTTAGGTTGGGCTAATATACGTGAACTATAATATGCTGGAATACTATTATGATGAAAAAGCAAAGATGATCATTACTTATTCCTACAACTATTATTCAGACAATTTACAATATTTAAAAGGAACACAGTAAGTTTTTAAAGTTTGTTTAAAAAGTAATGGCTTAATTCCCATGAGTTGTGTATCCAATAAACACATAAAAATATATGCAAATATACATTGATACACATTAGTATATCTGAATGCACTTAGGAGTGGGGGATGAGATGAGAGGATTAGGCGAGAGGTGGCTCATAACTTACCATAATGTAACTTGACAATAAAAGGATGATTAACTTCTACCAAAATATCACGTTCCATTTTTGTCCGAACACGGTCTCGAACTATAAAAGATTGTACACATGCTATATTGCAGTATCTGTCAAAGACAATCTTTAAAACAAATTCTTTTTGCGCTTATTTTAAATAAAATTTTTCTTATGCTTATAGAAATGTGAACATTTTGTTTATTGCCACTGAATGTACAAAATAAATACATCTTTTACTACATTATATAATTAAAAGAAACTGTATACTTATAAAGTTATGGAGAGTGGGAAAAAGAAACACGCAATTAAAAAAATCTTAATGAAATATGAAAATACAAAAAGCTAGAGTAGGTTTCAATACTCCAGTAACCCAGTCCAACAAATATTCATTAAGCAACTATAAAATGTGGCAGACATGGTGAAGAATGGATACCCCTAAAATGTCTATTTTGCAGAGAAAGAAGGAAGGAGGAGGAAAGAGCTACCGTGGTACAGCTCAAAGAGCAAAGGTTTTATTGGAGTTAGAAATGTTTGGGTTTAGATATGTGGGATCTTTAAGCAAGTCACTTATTCAAACTCTCTGACCTTTAGTTACCTCTCAAATATAAAAAGGGGGCAACACTACTGTACCTTTAAGGGATGTGTGACCATTTGAGATAGTTTGTATCTAAGTCTGATCTGTAAAGGATATTCAATTAAATGGTAGCTATCATTATTATATAATGTAGCAGTGTGAAAATGATTAAGAGATAAAGTAAATGGTCAATTTAACAATTTATTATCAGTAATGAATAGTACAAGTATCAGTCTTGTATAGAAGGCTAGAGAAAAGAGGTGGATTTAGGGGACAAGATTTAAGACAAAATTTAAGTGGAATTTTAGATGAGTGGGAGGGATAAGGCTGGAAAAGAGGAGTCCAGGTCTGAATTACCAACACAAGTAAAGACACCATGATGTGAATGGCCAAAAGGAAGGAGCCAAATGAGTGTGCAAACACAGGCTTTCCACAAGGGGCCAAGCTCCCTTTCAACAACCAAACACTTCCTGAGTGAAGTCTATGGTAAGCACTAGGGATACAAATACAAATAAGATAATCTTTAAGGAGGAGGTAGGTGTTTGGCATGGCTGTTAAGACAATTGCATTCTATATCAGAGTCCCAGCTCTGGATTCCTGCTTCCAGCTAACGGGCTCCCACCCACTGTGGATATCTGGAGAGTGAACTAGCTGATGGGCACCCCCAAGCCCACCTCTCAAATAAATGAAAATTAAAAAAAGATTTAATCTTTAACATGGTATAAGTAATCTAGCAGAAATGACAGGCAAATAAACGGTTAAAATACATTCTAAGTATTCCAAATAATTGTGTCAACAATTAAAATAGAAGGAATAGGAGTCTTTTGTGGGGTGAATTGGGGACAGTAGGACAGTTGTGTTGGTTTTATTTTCAATGCAAGGTGACCACAGATATTCAAAACACAGAAATAAGACCCCTGGGGAAAATAAACAAAAAACTAAAAAATATCCTATTTTCCCCCATTCTAGCAGTTTTCCACAACCAACTGGGAGGATTTTAGTACCAATTGCCCTTGATGTCCACAAAGCTCTATTTTTTAACTGACTTGCTTAGTTATCATTATCAAATTCAATATCATTCTGTGATTTCATTATATTTTCCTGTTGCTACAATTCTGGTATCTTCCTTATTATATCTTATAAACCCTATTTATCATGAATAAAGTTAATCATTAAGGCTCCTGATAATTATCTTCTAATCCAGTCTAAATATGCCTTTTTTCCATTGTTATCCACACAATCTTGGGTTAGTTCCTATTACCTTAAAGCTGGATTCCAAATTTCTTCCTCTTTCTATAAATATGAAAAGTAAATCCTTTAAAAATCACTCCCTTGCTCAGGAAGCAGTATAAATATGTGCCAACATATTTACTATATACATCCCTCTTTTTTTATTCTACCACAATGAAAGAACAAATTGTTTGGGATTCAAGAAGTATAGTTTAGTGGCTGTACTAATAACTATATGAGTTACTCTGGTCAAGTAATTTCATTAAAGACTTCCTGTTTCCTCCTTTATAAAATGAAAGGCTGGACCAAGATGATCTTTTGATTTTTATCAGCTCGTGAGACAGTTTTCAACATTTCCTTACATGTAACATTGATGAAACCTTGTTGAAAATAAACAGTGAGATCCACTCACTAAAGAATTCCTTGATTTTGCCTGAGGTAGGACTGCATAACAATCCTAATCTGGTTTCTTACTGCTTATGTAAAGACCTAATGGTAAATACAAATTATCTCAATATCAAGACTTTTGATTGGTATATACTAGCTCTTTTTTTTTTCCACAAAATTTGTATTTGTTTATTTTGAGTAAACTTATAATTTATACATTTATATTCCAGAGTGTATCTCTTTTGATAAGCAGAGTTTTTAAAAACATAAAAATATGGAACGCTTCATGAATTTGCATGGCATCCTTGCGCAGGGGCCATGTTAATCTTCTCTGTATCGTTCCAATTTTAGTATATGTGCTGCCGAAGCGAGCACTGTACTAGCTCTTAAGAAGGCATGTTTTATATTGGTCAACTTCTAAGCCTTAAAACAGTTTGTTAATATTGACTCATGCTGGCAAGGCAACTACATTCCTCTAAAATAATTTGTCTTATATAATAGTTATTGGATTTAATCCTTCCTTGACATGAACATGAGAGTGAACAAGAAGAAACGTTGTTTATGTTTCTAGAACTATGTATGAAAAGTTGTTTTACACAATGGTTTATAAAAACATTGTAGGCTGACAGACCACTTAAGATGGCCACAATATCCCACTAACTTGACCTTAATATCCCTGAGTTCCATTTAACTTGATTTACTGTATTAACAGGAACTCTAAAATATAAAGTCTTCTGGTTAAACACAGATGTTTTATTTTTTACTTTCTTCCAAAACCCCAGTGAAATGACAGTAATCCAGTAGCTACCCGTTATCTACAAGCACTAAGTTCTAAGACCTATAGTGGATGTCTGAAACTACAGATGGCACCGAACCCTATATATACTGTGTTTTTTCCTATATATACATATCTATGAAATTGTTTGATGTATAAATTAGTACCAGTAAGAGATTAACTACAATACTAATAAGATAGAATAACTGTAACAATGGACTATAATAAAAGTGAGGTGAATATGGTCTCACTCTCAGAATATCTTATTGTACTTTCACCTTTGCTAAAGGAAGCACTTTATGGCTTCTCTTTGGCATATCTGAATTGCCAGCGTTGTCTTTACTCCTGTGCTTTGGGACCATGCAGTACCATGACAGTCAATCTGATAACCCAAATGGCTATTAAGTGACTCACAGGCTGGTAGCATATAGAGCACAAACTGGACAAAGGGATGATTCATGTTCTGGGCAAGACAGCACATTTCATCACCCAAAATGGCATGGAATTTACAACTTATAAATTTTTAATTTCTGGAATTTTCCATCTAATATGTTCAGAATAAGGTTGACTGTGGGTTAACAGAAATTGTGGGTGGAGGTGGGGACTACTATAGGCATAAACCCACAAGTTCAAAGAGCAGGAGAGGGAGTAATAGAAGATGAGCAAGTTATAAATAACACAACAGGTCAGAAAAATCTAAAATCTAAGCCCAAGGAAGAAAGAGAAATGTGAAATAAGTAAATTCTTGCAATAGAACCCTTTCCAATTAGTTTTTAGTACCTCAGTCTTAAATGAAAAGACAACAAAGATTCCCAGGCATGTGAAGAAAGGCTCTAAATGTGAAAAGCATGAAAAATCAACAGAAAAAAAATAAAAAGAAACAGGAAGAAACAAAACTCAACCTTCTAAATTTCAAAGGTTTATTTACTTATTTGACAGTCTGAGTGGGAGAGTGAGAAAGAGAAAGAGAAAGAGAAAGAGAAAGAGAGAGGGAGAGGGGGAGGGGGAGGGGGAGGGGGAGAGGGAGAGGGAGAGGGAGAGGAGAGATAGAGATAGAGATAGAGATAGAGATAGAGATAGAGATAGAGATAATCTTTCATCCACTGGTTCACTCCCCAAACAGCTGTAACAAGGCTGGATTGCACAGAAGCCAGGAGCCTGGAATCCATCCGGATCTCCTGTGTGGGTAACAGGGACCCAAGTACTTTGGCCATTCTCTGCTGCTTTCTCAGGCACACTAGCAGGGAGCTGGATTGGAAGCAGAGCAGTCAGAACTTGAATTGGCTGCTCTGATATGGGATGCTGGCATTGTAAGCAACACTTAACCTGCTGTGCACAATGCTGGCCTCTATCCTTGTAATTTTAGTGACAGAACAAAAATGATATGGCACTCACGAAATAGGAAACTTTAAATGGAATGGGGTAGGGGGAAGGAACAAGTATTCTTGACAAGTAAACAAGGAAAAAAACAAGAAACAGAGATAGAGTGCACAGATAAAAAGACTTAAAGAGAGATGGCAACCAATTGTAAAGTATAACTTACATGTATGGATCCTGATCAAAACAAATTACATGAAGACAATTAGAAATTTGAATACTGACTCGGCATACATATGCTAATTTTACTGATATCATAGTAGAGCTGTATTATTTTAGGAGTCTATCTTGGAGAGATGTATACTAAAATATTCATGACAGAAATAGTACAGAGTCTGGGATTTGCTTCAATTACCAACAGGGGAAGGAGAATACAGATGAAAGAAGACTGACTATAAGTTGATAAATATTGAAGCAGAGAGGAGGGTATATGAAGCTAACTATATTCTTTAGTTTCTTCCTTAAATGTTTGACACTTCCTATAATGATAAATTTTAAAACATTTTTATTTATATAAGGTGAACAAATTTCATGTATTTCATATACACAGATTTAGGAGCATAATGATACTTCTTCCCCTACCCTCCCTCCCACCCAAACTCCCACCTGAACTCCTCCTTCTTTTCTTATTCTTTTAAATGTTACAGTGACATACTTTCAGTTTATTTTATAATCATAAGCTTAACCCTCACTAAGTAAAAAATTCAGCAAATCGTAAGGAAAAAAACCTTTTCCTGAACAGTAGAGACAAGAGCTGTAAACAATAACCATATCTGAAAATGTCAATTTCACTCATATATATATTTTTTTGTACTCTGTTAGTCACCAAAGATCAAGGAAAATGTATGACTGCTGTCTTTTTGGGACTGACTGATTTCATTAAGTAAATGGTTTCCAGTTGCACTAATTTTGTTGTGAAAGATAGGATTTCATAAAATTCTTAAAAACTGCATAATCAATGATAGAAAATTAAAAATGATGGTAGAAATAAAAGTTTCTAAAAGACCCAGAAGACAGTTGATTATATTTTCCAGAAGTAGAAAAAATAAAATACAGGAGAGAAAAATAAAGAGTAAATAATAATCTAGAGGGTCCAACATGTACAAAATCACAAAATTGAGAATGACAAAAAAACTTTCCGAAATGGAAGAAATGAGTTTCCACATTGAAACATATCACTCTGCTTCCAGAATGACAAATTAAAAAAAAAAAAACACTAAAGAATATACCAAATACGTTTCAGAACACCAGGAATTAAGAGTTATCCGAAGACTTTCAAAGAGGAAAGGTGACTTGACACAAAGGATCAGGAGTCAGAATGGCCATAAGCTTCACCATCACAACACAGGAAACTAGAATACAATGGAAGTAATCTTTTCAAATATCTGAGGGAAAATTACTACGCTCTGCCAAATTACAAATTCAGTGAGGGGAGCCAGCGTTGTGGCAGAGCCAGTTCCAGTCCTGGTTCTTCCACTTCCTACCCAGCTCCCTGCTAACGTGCCTAGGAAAGCAGCAGAAGATGGCCCAGGTGCTTGGGCCCCTGCCACAAATGTGGGAGCCCCAGATCAAGTTCTTTGCTCCTGGCTTTGGCCTAATCCAGCTCTGGCCATTGCAGCCATCTGGGGAGTGAACCAGCACATGATGATCTCTCTCTCTCTGTGTAACTCTATGTATGTGTGTATTAATTTATGTACATATAGAAATTGAGGAGACAGAATACAACTAATTGTACATTCACCTTTTCTGAGGTAACTACAAGAAGATGTGTTCTACCCAACCTAGAAAGTAAACTGAGAAAAAGACACAGACTTTGGGGAATGCAACTGATCAGAGCAAAGATGTAAAGGAAATGTGATTCTGTATACCATCAGTTCTGCTAGGAACATTTATAAAGCTGTAATAATGAAAAGATTCCTGGGAAGATGCCAGAAGGGAAATTGTATGTACGTAGCAGTATGAGATAACTAAAATCTAATATTCTATGTTATAAAGTAAACAGATTATGTCTCCAAATGAAAAGTCAAATCAAGAATTGTATTAAAAGACTGTTGAACTGAGGTACACGGCAAAAGCAGCAGGTAAGGATGAAAGTCCTTGTCATTGGGGGGGGGGGGGTCAAGAACTAGCATGGCAGGAGGCTGGCACTTGGAAAGGCAGAAGAAGATGGCCCAAGTACTTGGAATCCTGCCACCCACATGGGAGACCAGGATGGAGTTCCTGGATCCTGGCTTTAGCCTGGCCCAGATCTGGCTGTTGCGACCATTTGGAGCATGAACCAGCAGATGGAAGACATTTCTTCTCTCTCTGTCTCTGTATATCTGTCCCTATGCCTTTTCAATTAAACAAATAAAATCTTTTTTAAAAAAGAATTATCCAGTAGTCTATAATTCCAAAAAATAAAATACTTTCACTATTCTATGATCCCTTCCACAGTTTGTATCTATATAATTCTACATACTTATAAAAGCCCAATCTCTTTTAATTTTTTACTGATACATTTTCATTAAGTTCACCTGTAATTTTATTTAAGACATAGTACTTCATTTTAGTACTATCCTTATATTAACTTTATTCTGAAATCCTTTAGGCAGAGGTTGTAATAGTATTTCCTTTTTCAAAATTTATTTATCTGAAAGATCAACAGAAAAAGGAGGACAGACAGAGACAGATTTTCCACCTGCTGGTTCACACCCCAAATGGCCACAATAGCCAGGTCTGGGCCAGACTGAAACCAGGAGCCAGGAAATCCATCCTGGTCTTCCACATTGATGGCAGGGATCCAGCTACTTGGGACATCATCTGCTGCCTTCCCAAGTGCATTAGCAGGAAGCTGGATTGGAAGTGGAGCAGCCAGGACTTGAACTGGCACTCTGATATGGGATGCTGGCAGGCATTTCAAACACTGGGCCACAACACAGGCCCATGGTATTTCTTATTAACTCTTCATTCCTTCAGCCTTTTAAAAAATGTTTATTTATTCTTCATCTACTTGAAAGGCAGAGTGACAGAGACTGACAGAGACAGATCTGCTGGTTCACTCCTCAAATGTTTGCAACAGCCAGGGCAGGGCCAGACCTAAGCCAGCAGTCAGGACCTCTATCCAGTTCTCTCCCATGGGTGCAGGGGCACAAGCACTTGAGCCATCATCTGCTACCTCTCAGAATGCATCAGCCAGAAGTAGGATCAGAAGTGGAAGAGCCAGGACACAAACTGGCACACCATATGGGATGTGGGTATCACAAACAGTGGTATGATATTCTGTACAACACCTGCCCCTTTTTTTACATTTATTAGTTAGAATTCTACCGCAAGGAAGAGCTTTACCTTATTCCTCATTAACTAACATATCGTGTAACTAATGGATTCTTACTTTATTCAACGTGTTATAATCTATCACTTCCATATGGCAATGTTCAAATTGTCCCAAATTTGGTTAGTAGGAGTCTTTCTTTCTTTTTTTTTTTTTTTTTTTGACAGGCAGAGTTAATGAGAGAGAGAGACAGAGAGAAAGGTCTTCCTTTTCTGTTGGTTCACCACCCAAATGGCTGCCACCGGCGCACTGCGTTGATCCGATCCGAAGCCAGGAGCCAGGTGCTTCCTCCTGGTCTCCCATGCGGGTGCAGGGCCCTAGCAATTGGGCCATCCTCCACTGCACTCCTGGGCCACAGCAGAGAGCTGGACTGGAAAAGGAGCAACTGGGACAGAATCCGTCACCTCAACCCGGACTAGAACCTGGGGTGCAGGCGGAGGATTAGCCTAGTGAGCCGCGGTGCAGGCCCAGGAGTCTTTCTTAGTCAACTTCTATATATTAATATTATATAATATTTGAGAAAGATATTTTCTTTTTTATACTATTTTTCATTGTATGAAAGGTTCAAATTTTCTGTATGTTCATCTACTTGCTTGCACTTTGCTTAATATTTCTTCACAAGTTTCCTAGAGGTGGTAAGTTACATAAAATTCGGTTTGGTTGAATTGGCTACAGTGTAGGCTTTAAGAAGACTCTGATTGTTCTCCTGATTGCTCAGGGGCATTGCAAACAAATTTATAAAATCATTACTTAGATTTTTCATTGCAGTGTATATACTTGCTTTGTCACATAGCACAGCAGGTATTCAATACCTGTATAATAAATACATTAAAGTTAATATATATGTTATACTCTTTTGTTGCACTGGTTTCTATGCCTATGTTATTCCCCACCCCCCAATAACACATTAGGTTACTATTGTTTTAAATAAATTTTCACACCTGGCTAAGCTTATTCACTTCTTATTTTTCTTTTCCAAAATACTCATTGATGTATATGTTTTTCAAATAAAAGTTTGACTCATTTTGTTATTTTTTAAGGAAAATGCAAGTGAAAAAATGATATTAAGCTAACTGGTTGGCTAGAGAAGTGCTGACATTTTTAACAGCAGCGTTCTTTGGTAGGAACTGGGCAATTAGTTCTATGCCTGCTATCTTTTAGGTTTCTCAGAGTGCTCAGCTTCTTTTCCATATATTGTATACAACACAAATCCCATAAAAACAAACTACTTTTGTTACTTTTGTGAATGAATTCTGAGTTCCATCAATGCAGTTTTATAACATAAGATTCATGAGTGTAAAATCATAAAAGTGGTGATAGAAAGTTAGGGTATTAAAGATATAATTTAACTTCCTTGTCTTAGAAAGAATCAAGTGAGTGGTTAATGCCACTGGGGTAGAGATTGGATGGGAAAGGAAATACAATGAGAAAGGGAGAAAGAGATTAGAAACAAAAGATTGTGGAATTTCTGAGGATGGTAACATCCACAGTATATGACTAACTACTATTAACAGAAATAATAAATGATCATTGTAAATGTTCTTTATAAAATATTTTAAAAGCTTTATAAATTAGATATAAATTGAAAAGGAAAAAACTGACATTGGATTCAATATGTAATAGAATTGGAGGTTATTGGTAAAGTAAAATCGTACATTAGATTTTAAGATTATAGCTCAGAATAAAAACCTAGAAACCATAAATCAAGATGATAAAGTCCTTTATTCTATTATTCACCCAGTAAGTTTTTAAAAACATCATAATAATTATATTAACATGGAGATGAATCAAATCCAGTTTTAATCTTCTAAACTTCGACTTGCCTAAAGTCCAAGATAAATTTACAATTCTTCTCTAACAAGTCAACTCCTATTCCTACTTAGCTGTGCAACTCTCAGTGCAGCAAGAATAACTGACTGAAAGTCTGTCTAAATTTAAAGCAGGTAACAGGAACGCTTCAGAAGGTAACCAGACTTCCCGAGTCACATGAGTTCTGCGATCTTTTAGTTTGTTACTAGGACACCAACATTACAAATGGCAGCAGCACTTACCTTTCAGTGTGGCCTTCTTCAATACCTTCATGGCATAAAGCTGTCTAGCATCAGAGCCTGAGATTTTTTTCACCAAGAAAACCTGTATTTAAATAAGAAAAATCAAATAGCCAAGTGTAACAAACTATATCTTTATTAAAATAAGATCCCTGCTGTAATATAGTTTATAATACAGATTCTGATGTAGATTATTTCCTTTAAAATGTATCAATTATAAATATGAAGTGGTTATACTTTTAACAGAGGTATCAACATAAGTGAATACATTTTTTTAGTTTTGTTGTTTTGCCAATTCCCAAAGAGTATACAATACTTTATGACAGAAAATTTAAACTATATACATAGCATTTAGAAGGCAAAGAGCCCAAAGTGTTTACAGTGTAGCACAGTTGGGGATGGTTGTGCTTTTAACAAAACAAAGTCTTCTGAGCCTCAAGACCATTACACAGGGATTCCTTTTGACCAGTTCTCTGTTGATAGAATTATTCACTGATGAAATGTCTTTTCTATGGATAGACAGATGAAAACTACAAGCACATACCACTGCTGGGCAGAAAAACAACACTTAGATTGAAGAATCCTAGTCACAAATACTTGATGTGACTTAAGCCAGAACCCACATCCCCACTTTTATACAATCAAATTATTATATAACCAGAGCATTTAACAAAGTTTATAGGAAAACAGAATTATTTGGTGGAAAAAATTCTGAAATCCATGCAGTTCATGATAAATGTTTTCCATGATCTTTTTAAAGACCCCACATATCCCTAAATATAAAGAGCATAATTCTCAGGTATGTATATTATGCAGTTGTTGATTTTCTAAATACTTTTTATTACTTTCAAGATTGAGTGTGTGGGATTTATGCAAAATGAATAAATTCTGCTATAAATAATTAATGGTCATGCTATAACATGACTCCAAATACCCTTTGCTCATTTTGACCATTAAATTCATGATCCTTTCCATCAAACCTTTAAACAGACCTCCTCAGTGGGTCCAAATTTCAAGTTTCCCCCATAGCCATTCTTTTGTATCAGTGTTCTTGAGCTGCTATAGATAGCAAGGAGAGAAGCAATAACCTAGAATTAACTTTAGAGTCCATTCACAATGATCTGACTTAGCATGTTAGACTATTAGTATAAAATCTATAAAGGATTAATTCAACCGATTCTAGGGCAAGGTAAAGTTTCTCACTTTGAGAAACTGTGCCAAAGCAACGGGCAATGTCTCTAAATCCAGTGAGGAAAACCACAACATGCAGAAACCTTGATGTAGGGGTGATGCTCTCCTCCAATCACTCCCTTCCCCCTTTACTAAGCCCCACTCTAGCTCCTCTCAGCCAATTAGCTGGGAGCCAATCTAAGGAAAGAAAAACATTCTTAGGGCAGTTCTAAGGTAGAATTATGTTCAAATGTTAAAGTCAGAGATGAGTAATATTTTTGAACAGGAACAGATTGCAATTAGGTGGAGATAATTAGGATTTATCTGATATTTATTCATCCTGAAGATTTCCTAATTGAGCTGCTTTGTTCCATTCTGTAAGAAAAATTTTCTAAACTGTCAACAGTTGTATGAAAGTACTCTCAACACTTTATAGAGTGTTTAGTTTGCGAAGTACCTTCAAAAGCTTTGTAACAGAGTATCACAACAATTTTGGGAGGCAGACCTACTATGCAATGCCTAGTTTATAGTTGCCTAAACCAGGACTTAAAGAGGTTAAATAATTTGCCCTGTGTCACAGTGGAGGTACTAGGACAAGAGTTGGGTCAGCCACCCAGTACGGTGCTTCTGCTCAGGCTGTTCTTTTTCTATCTCCTTTGGCTGGTGATCAGCCAAACCCAGCAGGAGCAACAGCAGTCCAGGCTGCCATGGGACCTTCCCCCATCACAGCATTTCTGACCTTTCTTACTCCCGCATGAAGCTATTCTAGGCAGTGACAGGTTATCCATGCTTCCTTGGCTTACAATGTTTTTTTAGGATGAGTAAGAAAGGAGTTGCCCTATTTTTAATGTTTGCTATTTATAGTAAGGTATTTAAATTACTTTTAAAGGAATAAAGGGAAAAGCATGCTAATTCCTAGGAACTTAAATATTGTGTTCCCTGACTATGTATTATATAAAAATAAACCCAAATATTTGGCCTTATGAAGTAAATGATAATACAATTTAATACCAGACCTTATGTACTTGACCTTATATCATTTAATTCTCACTACCACTCTGTAAGGTCACACAATAATTCTTTTCAGAATTACATGCTAGGAACTACACTACTGGTTTGATGCTGAGACAGTCAGTACAAAGCACGGCTCCTGCACTCAGAGATCAGACAGTCTACTGAAGGAGACAGTCAATAAACAAATAATTACACAAATGAAAAATTGAAATTACGCTAAGTGCCACGAAGATGACATACGTGGTGTTCTGATGGTGTAACACAGGAATAGGAGCTGGGCGGGATGGTAGGAAAGGCCACAGGTACCAGAGGAGCTGAGGGGAGCAGGGGCGGGCTCGTGTGTCAGGGGAAGAGCATGCGGAAAGGCTTTCCAGCGGGTTTGAGCCTGGCATGCTTTAAGGACTGGAAAAGAAGGCTGATGCGGCCAGAACACGGAAGGTGGAAAAGTCTATGAACTGGCACTGGAGTGGTAGCGGGGGTCTGACGGAGGGACTTCCAGCAATCTTAATTATTTTCCTTACATAAAAGTGAAGGGAGGCTACTACTGATGGGTTAAGGGGTGGGGGTGGGGCTGTGTATGAGATTAGCTCATGCTGGGTGTCATGTAAATACTGGATTGTACAAAGAATAAATTTAGGGTATAGACTTAGGAGATTCCTTTAACAGACAAAGAGAATGGTGCGGCATATTCTGGAAAGGGGCAGTAGTGGAGAAGACAGGCATGATTTCAGAAATCTTCCCCAGAAGATACAGGAAAGGGACAATGTACACCGAGTAGGAGATTAAAATTTTTGAGTGGACAAACTTTTAGTAACCAAAAATGACTAAATCATCCCAAAAGTCATTAAGGGATGGGAACAGAAAAGAGTAATGGGGAAAAACTGCTGAGCCCAAACTTGTTAAAATGTTTATGTGTGTGCTTGTGTGTGTCCATCCCATCCTTCTCCTCATACACCATGATTGTTTTGCCACACATTTAGAGATTACTCTTTATTACATTTTATTTATTGAATTCTATTAGCTTTCATTTTAAGCATCTGCATGTATTCATTTGGTAAGTTAAAATAAAGTACGGTTTGATGTTCCAAAAAAAAAAAATCTTTACTCAATCAACAGGACTTGGTGACAGATGAGATCAGCCAGGGTGGAGGAGGGGGAGTACTACAAAGATATGTCAAGTATGTCTCCCAAATTTCTGGATTGCTTAACTGCAGTCATAGTGACAGAGAAAAATGAAATAGGGGTACAGTAATATCATGAGTTTGGTCTTAGATATGCTGAATTTAAAGTGCCTTTGAGGCATGCAAATAGGATGAAAAATAAGCAGCTCTACATGAGAATTCAGAGCATGAAGGAGCAATCTAGATTGCAGATATAAATCTGTTACATCATGTGTATGTGAGTTACAAGGAAGATAGTGGGCACAGAGAGGAAATCAGTTAGCAAAGACTGCAGAGGAGATGGAAGCCTAGAATGAAAACTCGCCAACTTCAATGTTTAATGACTGGCTTGAAAAGGAAAACAGGGCTTCAAGAGGTTAAGTAACTTGTTCAAGCACACACAGTGAATAAACAGAATAAAAACAAAAATAAACTGGATCCAAGTCTGGCTTAGGGTCCAAACTTGCAACCATCATGCTCTGCTGGCCGCTTAGTCTAGAGCTGGATTAAAAGCATTGCTTTGGGTTTGAAAGAGGTTAACAATGGTAACAAATTACTTATGTTAGCCAAGAACTGCGGAATAGGCCTCTGGACTTCTCTGGGGCCAGCAGCCAACCGACTAGGGCCCCAGGGCCACAGGCTCAGCTGATGACCATGAGCTCAGTGTCCAACCAGCAGTTTGCAGACGGCTACACCGAAGCAGCAGAGGACATGGCCTGGTTGGCAGATGAGCTGCAGGGACTTCAGAGGGCTGCCATCTGTAAGTGGTTCAATGTGTGTGCAGACTGGGTTTGGCTTCCTGTCTGTGACTGCCTGTGCTGGGGTCGTGCTCAAGTGTGCACACATAGTAAGCTGAACGTGGAAAGCTTCCGGAGCCTGAAGGAGGGTGAAGCAGTGCAGTTCACCTTCAAGAAGTTTGCCAAAGACCTGGACGCCATCCTTGTCACTGGGTCTGATGGGGTATTCTGTACTGGGACTGAGAGGTGGCCAGAGGGGAAGAACATGCAGAAGCGCAGGTCTAAAGGAGACAGGTGCTACAACTGTAGAGGTCTAGATCACCATGCCAAGGGATGCGAGCTGCCCCTGAAGCCCAAGAAATGCCACTTCCACCAGAACATCAGCATATGGTGGCCTTGTGCCCCTTGAGGGCCCAGAATGCCCCCAGCTGCCTGGGAAAGCCAGCCTACTTCCGGGACGATGAAGAAGAGATCCACAGCCCTGCCCTGCTCCCTGAGGCCCAGACTTGAGCCACAGTGGGTGGGGGCTCTTATTTTGCTATCAGGAAGTTTCAAGGAGCAGGCATCAACCACACAGTGGAGACAGGGGGGACAGGGTGTGCTGGGGGGTAGCTGGCACTGCCATGAATCTCAGGCTGGGGTTCATAGCATCATCCCCTTTTCCCCCTTACTGGGAGAAAGGGTGAGGCAAAGGAATTCCAAACCAAGATCTATCTAAATACAAGTAAGGGCCTTGAGGGGGACATCAACCTATAACCTGCATGCTTTACTGGAGGCCCCACATTCAACATCTAGAAAGCAGTAGCTTTAGAAAGTAGCCTGGATGGGAAAGTCATTTTCCTTTCAAGGAAGACATGGAATAATACTTCCCTCGCCATGATGAAAAGATTGGTTGATGGCCCAGATTACTGGACTCAACCCACAAGCTGCTGTATTCTGTAGGAGAGAATCTCTCAGGAGTAAGACAGGGTTTTCCACATCTCGTTTCCTCATAACACAATTCTGGGACAGTGTGTTGGGAACTGTCCCAGACAAAGGGATTGATGACTGGCAAAAAGGGTGGTTAGGGCAAATGCCATAGACCCGCTGCTGCTAAACCCTCTGCCACCCATTTTTGACCAATATGATTTATTTATTTGATCCCCTAGATAACTGTACCTAGGGTGTCACTTTCTCCAGGAAGCCAACTGCACTGTATGCAAATGACATATCTTGTACATTTTAACTTTTTTTCTTAATATAAATATTCTGGTCTTGTATTTTTATATATTTTAACATAAGGCCCTCATTCCTGCACTGTGTCCTCAGGCACATGATAATTTCAGGGATAAGTCGGTAGCAGCTCCAGGTTGCACAGGAAATACTCCCCCCCCCCCCCATGGAGAGCAACAATTTGGAATGCAGTGTGCCAATTCGAGCTGGCTTTTTTTTTGGGGGGGGAGCAATAGTGTCCTCTTGAAACTCCCACCACCTTGAAAATGTTTCATGGAAGATGAGGTGTGAATTGGGTTGCCCCATGACTTGATCTCCTCCTGGAAGACTGAAAATTAGTCTATGTTAAATCAATAACAGGAGTCACCGTGCACTTGCTCCCCATGTAGGACTTCTGTCCTTAATGTGTTGTACTGAGAACTAACGGTAAAACTAGTCTTCAAACAGTACTTTTATACTTTGTGTGCCTGTGTGGGTGCAGTCTGTTGAAATCTTTACTTAGTATAGAGTTGATCTTCTGTATATAAAGATAATTAAAAATGAATCTTAATGAAGAATGGGATGGGAGAAGAAGTAGGAGGTGAGACAGTTTGGGGGTGGGAGGGCGTGTATGGGGGGGGGAACAGCTGTAATCCAAAAGTTATACCTATGAAATTTATATTTATTAAATAAAAGCTTTCATTTAAGAAAAAAGAAAATTAGCCTAAACAGGAAGAAGTGACACAGAGAAGTTAAGAGGCCGAGGCAGAGAGGAAACCATGGTTCGGGCTGCCTGATTCTAGTACACAGGTCTTTTGCTTCACGTAACAGAAGCATCCTTCACCAGATTAGGCCAGGCCCACTACGCACAACAGGGTGTGTGTATGTGTGTGAAAAACGTGAGCTGGTAAGGATGAGTTTGAAGACTAAGACCTCTGTACGTACCCACATGAAGCAAGGATTAAAATCCTTAACCTATCAAAATTCTTGGCTTTCAGGCAGACCCATATGTGAAGGTCTCGCAGCGTAAGGAGCCAGTGTTTTGTCCTGTGACAGTAGTGATTACTGTGTCATGGTAACTAAAGGAGGAAAAGAGGGTTTGTTACATGCTGAGAGATCACCAGAAATCTACCTCACTGTGTTGAAATGGGACAGATGCAACAGAACACACTGGGTGGTGTGTGTCTAATCCTGGGTTCCTCCTTCCCCAAACGCTGCTCCCCTCTGGTTATTCTATTTGTCCGGGCTTTGTAAGACTTCACTGAGTCTCTGAGTTGGTGATTACTAGGTGGCTTTGTTTGTGTAAATGTGTGTTGGTCTTTCTCCATGATCTTTTCGGGCTTCATTGTTTACAAACTTATTTTATATTGTGAGAAAAATAGCCAAGCATCTTGGTAAATTTTGTACAGGCAAAAGGATCTGAAACGTAAGTTGGAGGGGGGGAGGTTCTTCTTGAAGTGGGGACCTTAAGTCATCTTTACTTTTGTGTTCCCCTTCCCCTCTCCTATTTTGGATTTACCCTTAAAACTTGACTCCTACCCTACCCTCTTCTCCATACCCCTTCCACAAAAGGAAACCTACACATCACACCCACACACATAAATGTTCAGTTCTTGAAATATCTCCACAACTCTAAAAGGATTTGTGCAAAATTACTGAATGGGAAACCTTCATCCCTTGTTCCCAATGTCCTGAGGCAAGACTATTTCTTGATGTGATTTATGCCAAAAACTTAAGATACTGATGTATTTGGATAGTTCAAATCTACTTAATTTGTATCCTAAAGAAGAGAAGCAAATGGGGACCTTCTGAGTAGAAAGTGGGGTTTGGAGACCAAGGGGACTATGAGTGTACATCCAAGTCACTCAGGAACTCTTATGTAGGTGGAAAAACTTATGGTAAAGTGGCCACAAGGCTGTTTGATAGGAGACAAATTAACTCCATGTTTACTGCTAGAAACCAAAGCTTTGTATGAAATTTTCAAACATGGGGAGGGAGGAGGGTACGAAAGCTTGTGCCTGTTTCTTCAGACTCCTTCCCATCAGTCCTGAACTGCAAGAGACTAAGCCTCCTTGGCCCCATCACTGGGGTGTGTTTGCTTGATGGTTGATTTTTCTGTACTGGGTACTTCCTTTTCCATTTTTTAGTCACTCTGTAATACATCATGCTAACTCTCGCAATCCCTTTTTTTTGGGGGGGGGGGAGATAATACAATGAATAAATCAAGACTTCTTTGGTACTGAAAAAAAGTAATTGATAAAGAGGCCCACTAAAACACACATCAGAGTTAACTTGGTGCTGTTTTGAATCTGGCAAAGCCTATCTTCAAATGTTTTCTTACTGAGAAGTGATAAGGAATCACTGCACTGTGAAAGTTGAGTGCAATCTTATAATTTCCATCCAGCTGAGAAACGACTAGACAGATCAGGTAGCAGTGATTATAATGGTGTACTTTTCAAAATGAAATGTCCTGAATGTGTGTAGCAGGGCACAAGGACTGCTTAAAGAAAACTGACAAAGATGTTGCATCTTCTGGAGCAATGTTACTTATTTGGGAAAATATTTTTTACATGAAAACAAGAATGTTATTAAATAGAGTGCAAACTTTGCATTCATTTGGAAGACAAGCCATAAGCTGTGGGCATTTGATGAGCAGATTAAGTGCCACTTGGGACACCCATATCCCATATCAGAGTGTCTGATTCAAGTTTGACATACTCTGATTCTGATCCAGTTTTCTGTTAATGAACACTCTGAAAGGCAATAAATGATGGGTCAGGTAACGGACTACTCTCACCCACGTGGGACAATCATTTTGAGCTCCAGGCTCCTGGCTATTACGGACATTTGGGTAGCAAGCCAGTGGGTGAAATATCAAGCTCTCTCTCTTTCTCTCTGACTTTTGAATAAAATGAAAACTAATAAAAATTTTTAAAAAATTCTAGTTGCTGGCATTGTAGCATAGTGAGTAATGCTACCACCTGTAGTACTGACATTCCATATGGGCGCTGTTCGAGTCCTGGCTGCTCCACTTCCAATCCAGCTCTCTGTTACAGCCTGGGAAAGCAAGTCCTTGAACCCCTACACTCATGTGGGAGACCCAAAGGAAGCTCCTGGCTTCAGATGGGCCCAGCTCCAGCCGTTGTGTCCATTTGGGGAGTGAACCAGTGTATGGAAGACCCCTTTATCTGTCTCTCCATTTCTCTCTGCAACTCTGCCTTTCAAATAAACAAAAAATCTTAGATAAAATGAGTACGAAGTGAATACCACCAGTTCACTAAAATTTCAAACATACTTTTCTTTTTTTTAACTTTTATTCAATAAATATAAATTTCCAAAGTACAGCTTTTGGATTACAGTGGCTCCCCCCCTATAACTTCCCTCCCAACTGCAACCCTCCCATCTCTCATTCCCTCTCCCATTCCATTCACATCAAGATTCATTTTCAATTATCTTTATATACAGAAGATCAATTTAGTATATATTAAGTAAAGATTTAAACAGTTTGCATCCACACAGAAACACAAAGGGTAAAGTACAGTTTGAGTACTAGTTATAGCATTAATTCACATTGTATAACACATGAAGGACAGAGATCCTACATGCGGAGTAAGTGCACAGTGACTCCTGTTGTTGACTTAACAAAATGACACTCTTGTTTATGGTGTCAGTAATCACCCTAGGCTCTTGTCATGAGTCCAACATACTTTTCAATGAATTTCTTCATTATCCCACACTTACTCATAGTGAAAAATGTAAACAACATAGAAAATACCACCGGTAGGGAGAATAATAGCATTTCATAAAATATTTGCTCTCCCATTTGTACGAAACATACATAAACTACAAAAACAACTTTAAAAAGCATGCATACATGACTTACCTTTCCAAATGATCCCTGTCCTAATACTTTTAAAAGCTCAAACTGGGAAGGATCTGCCTTTTCATGACCTTCCTTTACATGATGTGTGATTGCAATTTCTTTGATACTGCCTTCTTCCTGCAGAGGCAAATAAACAGGGATAAAACAGACTTAAAGCTACTTTCTATTGCCAGAAATTAATTAATAATTTAGCATAGCATACTAGAAATCCTCAAACTGATATACAGAAGCCACCTTTTACTGACCCACCAGGCAAATAGAAAACATACACCAAGCAAATACACACGCTCTTTAAAAAAAAAAAAAAAAGATTTATTTATTTATTTGAAAGTCAGTTACACAGAGAGAGGAGAGGCAGAGAGAGAGAGAGAGAGAGACAGAGGGGTCTTCCATCTGCTGCTTTACTCCCCAATTGAAGCAAAGGCTGGAGCTGCACTGATCCAAACCCAGGAGCCAGAAACTTCTTCCTGGTCTCCCACGTGGGTACAGGGGCCCAAGGACTTGGGCCATCCTCTGCTGCCTTCCCAGGCCATAGCAGAGAGCCTGATTGGAAGTGAAGCAGCTAGGACTCAAACCAACACCCATATGGGATGCCCAAACTGCAGGCAACGGCCCTACCCCCTACGCCACAGCGCCGGCCCACAAATACACTTTTAAGCAAAATGTCAGAGAAAGAATGATATCAGCTCACTATGCAGGCCAATTTAACATACACATGACACTAGCACTTCCAATTATTTCTTCATACTCCTTATTGGAGATCATTAAAATAAGGACAAGAAGTCTGAAAATAAAAGATCAATCTGTGGTGCTCTGTTGTGTGGTTGTATTAGGAAAAAACAATGCTATATTAAAGAAAAACTCTGATGTCCATCAACTGGTGATTGGATAAAGAAATTATTATATATGTGTATGTGTACACACACTATGGAATACTACTCAGCTGTAATAAAAAAATGAAACCCTGTCTTTTCCAACAAAACGGAAACTGGAAACCCACTATACTCAGTGAAATCAACCAGTCCCAAAAAAGACAGATACTGTATGTTTTCCCTGATCTTTGGTAACTAACAAAGTACCTAAAATGTATGTATTGGAGTGAAATTGTCATTTTGAGATTTGATGACCTTTCACAGCCCTTGTCGCCACTGTTGAGAAGGGTGTTTTTTTTTGTCCTTCATATTATTTTTTTTTAAGATTTATTTTATTTATTTGAAAGACAGAGTTACAGAGAGAGGCAGAGACAGAGAGAGGTCTTCCAATTGCTGGTTAATTCCCCAGATGGCCGCAACGGCCGGAGCTGCGCCGATCCAACGCCAGGAGCCAGGAGCTTCTTCCGGGTCTCCCACGCAGTGCAGGGGCCCAAGGACTTGGGCCATCTTCCACTGCCTTCCCAGACCATAGCAGAGAGCTAGATCAGGGGAGGAGCAGCCGGGACTAGAAGCGGTGCCCACATAGGATGCCAGCATTTCAGGCCAGGGCTTTAACCTGCTGCGCCACAGTGCTGGCCCCTACTATTTGTTGAACTCTTTACTTAGAGTAGGGTTAATCTTAAGAGTATAAAGTAAACTGAAAATAGATCTTTGTAAAAATTAAGAATGGGAATGAGAGAGAGGAGGAAGAAGGGCAGGAGTGTGGGCAGGAGGGAGGGTAGGATGGGAACAATCAATATGTTTCTAAACTTGTATATGTGAAATACATGAAATTTTTATACCATAAATAAAATTTAAAAAATCTGAAGGCCAGTGTTGTGGCATAGTAGATAAAGCTGGTGCCAGTTCGAGTCCAGCCTACTCTACTTCTGATCCAGGTCTCTACTGATGGCCTGGGAAAAGTACCAGAAGATGGCCCAATTACTTGGGCCCCTGCCTCCCACATGTGAGACCTGAATGAAGCTCCTGGCTTCAGCCTAACCCAACCCTGGCCAGTGTGTCTACCTGGGGAGTGAACCAGCAGATGGATCTCGGTCTCTCCTTCTCTCTAACTCTTCCAAATTAATAAGTAAATCTTAAAAAACAAAAAAAAACAAAAAAAAAAACAAAACAACTTGTTCAATCAGGAGAGGGGCTGAAAAATACTCCAGGGTAAACTTGGAGACTTCTATGCTCAGTACAGCCATTTAATTAAGTACACTGAATCTTTATCTGCTTGGAATACTTTCTGTTACAGAATGACCTGGGATCTGCGAGGAGAGAAAGGAGTAACTCCAAAATACAAAATCAGAAAGATTTAACATTTGGATGGCACAGAAGAGAAAAAAAGACTGTTCAGTGTGGTTGAACAGTGAAGGTATCTGGGTTAAGAGGATTTTTGAGGGAGGGTGTTGGAACTCATAGAACAAAATACATATGTATATAGGATTTTACTTATTTTTGTTGAGATCAGAAAATTAAGTAGACCTTATTTACATGAGACACATACCACGTGATAGCCAAAAACTACAATAATGTGAAACCAGAAACATAAGCCTATTAACTAAAGATGATCAGCTCTATTTTTTGAGTGTAATGTTATCCTTTCCTAGGTACATCAGTACTATTAGTAGTATCTAAACGTGTTATACAAACTATTCTGGCTACTATTATATTCCATCCAAACACTTGAGCTCAATTAACATTTTCTGAGCTACTCATAGAAAGTTGGTAATCTAAGGAATTAGCAAGAGTTTTCAAAAAGATGTAACAGGATATCTTACCATGGTAGCTTTAAAAAAAAAAAAAGATTTATTTGAAAGTCACAGTATCAGAGAGAGAGGGGGCGACAAAGAGATCAATCTTCCATCTGCTGGTTCACTTCCCAAAAGGCTGTAATGGCCATGGTTGGGCTAGGCTGAAGCCAGGAACCATGAGCTTCATCCAGGTCTTCCACATGAGTACAGGGGCCCAAGGACTTGGGCCATCCTGCGCTACTTTCCCAGGTACATTAGCAGGGAGCTAGACTGGAAGTGGAGTAGCTGGGACTTGAACCAGTGCTCATACGGGATGCAGGTGCTGCAGAAAAGTGGTTTAACCCACTGTGCCACAGCACCAGCCCCCAACATGGTAGCTTTTGAACAAGAATAGCACAAGGGAGGAAAAAAGCTTCCAGAAGAGGAAAAGAATCCAAGGGTATCGTTTTACTTTCTAAAAGGCTGGACATTTATAGATAATTTTACTATTTAACCTAGGCAGCTTATTCATTCTGAACTCTCTCAAAACTATGGCAACAATAATGAAATAATATTGGTTTAGCTCTTGGTTTTGTGATTTCCCATTATCACCTTTAATTTTCAATAATCCTGTACAGTACATATCAGGGTAGAAACAAGCACTAGCTGAATCTAAGATGTTACCTCTTCCTGGGTACTCCTCTCAAAAAGGGGAAAATGGAGGAGGAGAGGGAGGGAGGGAGGGATCTTCCAACTATTGGTTCACCCTCCAGATGGGCCGAAAAGGCCAGGGCTGGGTGAGGCTGAAGCCAAGAGTCAGGAGCTTGTTCTGGCTCTCGATGTGGGTACAAGGGCCCAGTCACTTGAGCCCTCTTCTGATGCTCTCCCAGGGCATTAGCAGGGACCTAGATTGGAAACAGAACAACCAGAACTCGAGCCTGTGCCTATATGGGATACTGGCATCGCAGGCAGCGGCTTTACTTGCTATACCACAGCACCACTCCCCACTTTTTTTTTTTTTTAAGATTTGTTTTCTTTATTTGAAAGACAGAGTGACGGAGAAGAAGGCAAAGACAGAAAAAGAGATCTTTCAATTGATGGTTCACTGTCCAAACGGCTGCAAGAGCCGGGGCTTGGCCAGGCTGAAGCTAAGAGCCCCTAATGCCATCTGGATCTTTCATTAAGTGGCAGGGGTGCAAGTACCTGGGCCATCTTCTACTGGTTTCCCAGGTGCGTTAGTAGGAAGCTGGATTGGAAATGGAGCAGCTGGGAGTGGCCCCTCTGTTTCAGCTCTCTGAAAATCTTATTTTAAAATAAATTTCAAAAAAGTATCCTTTTTCTTAGTGCTTTTTTTCTTTTAAAAATTTATTTATTTTATATGAAAAGCAGAGAGAGAGCAAGAGCAAGAGACTGATCTTTTTTTATTTTTTTAATTTTTTGACAGGCAGAGTGGACAGTGAGACAGAGAGAGACAGAGAGAAAGGTCTTCTTTTTGCCGTTGGTTCACCCTCCAATGGCCGCTGCGGCCGGTGCACCGCGCTGATCCGAAGGCAGGAGCCAGGTACTTATCCTGGTCTCCCATGGGGTGCAGGGCCCAAGGACTTGGGCCATCCTCCTGCACTCCCTGGCCACAGCAGAGAGCTGGGCTGGAAGAGGGGCAACCGGAACAGAATCCGGTACCCTAACCGGGACTAGAACCCAGTGTGCCGGCGCCGCAAGGCGGAGGATTAGCCTAGTGAGCCGTGGCGCCAGCTAGAGACTGATCTTCTATTCACTGATTAATTTCCCAAAAGCCTGCAAACAGGATGAAGCTGGAGGTGGAAATGCAACCCAGCTGTCCCACATGGGTGGCAGGGACCCAGCTACCTGAGCCATCACTTGCTTCCTCACAGGGTCTACATTAGCAGGAAGCTAGAATCAGGAGCTGGGATTCAATCCCTGGCACTCTGATATCGGAGGCAAGTATCCTAACTGGCATCTCAATCCCTATGCCAAATGCCTGCACTCTCTTTTTCAAAGCATCTTCCTCTATTCCCTACCCTCACCCTCCAAAATTGTTCTGATCATGCCAAACATCTTTGAGGATATAAACCAGAATTAAAAAAAAATATTTTCTAAACTGAGGTTCAGGAGCACAGAAAATTTTCTTGGAGGTAGAGAGATTAATTCCTGTGGCAAGTTTGCCATCGGCCCAAGTTCCAAAAACTTGCCACTACTTTATCCTGAACCTATCTCAATGCCCAGACTATGCTTCATGTCATTAAGTCATTGCCTCATTAGGATTTTAGAAATGTATCTGAGGCCCAACTAGGACATACTATTCATGCCTGGGCAATCTTGGACAACAGGTGGGAAAACAGCAATGTGCTCTTCTAGCTCATACCAGGAATCCAATGAGATGGATGCAGAAAGAACTATCAAGTTTCTGAAGACACAGACCCAAGAACAGACTGACACATGCATGTGACACACATATCTTATGTCACCTGATCACTTGTTCCCAAAATAAATTTGCCACATGAAAACAAAAACTACAACTTGACAGTTTGGAACACTATCGTTTTATCTTTAGTACATAGTGAAGCAGCTACAATTTTACAGAAAAAGAATTTTGTCAAAGTGAAGCATAGATATGGCACATACATATTAATTACTCTGTGAGGCGCAGATGATTTTATATTCTCTGGTACAACTGTATTTTATTTTTTGAAAAGATATATTTACTTATTTGAAAGAGCGTTACAGAGAGACAGACAGATACACACACACATATACACACAGAAATCTTCTGTCCACTGGCTCAACTCCCAGATAGTCACAACAGACAGGAGCCAGGAGCTTCACCAAGTCTCCCATATGGGTGGCAGAGGACCAAACTAAGTAAGCCATCTTCTTCTGCTTTCCCCAGGCTAATAGCAGGGAGCTGAATCAGAAGTGGAGGAGCTGGGACATGAACAGGCACCCATATGGGTGTCACAGCTGGTGGCTTTACCTGCTACACCACAATGCTAGCCCCCAGTGCAACTATAATTTAAATAGTACTTTTTTGGGGGCCGGCACATCCCATATGGGCGCTGGTTCAAATCCCTGCTGTCCCACTTCATATCCAGCTCTCTGTTATGGCCTGGGAAAGCACTGGAGGACAGCCCAAGTCCTTGGGCCCCTGCAGCCCCGTGGGAAACCCGGAAGAAGCTCCTGGTTCCTGGCTTCTGATCGACACAGCTCCGGCCATTGCAGCCATCTGGGGAGTGAACCATCAGTTGGAAGATTGATCTCTCTCTCTCTCTCTCTCTCTCTGCTTCTCCTTCTCTCCTCCTCTGTGGCCAACTGGGGAGTGAACCAGCGGATAGAAGATCTCTCTCTCTCAGGCCGGCGCCGCAGCTCACTAGGCTAATCCTCCGCCTAGCGGCGCCGGCACACCGGATTCTAGTCCCGGTTGGGGCGCCGGCACACCGGATTCTAGTCCCGGTCGGGGCGCCAGATTCTGTCCCGGTTGCCCCTCTTCCAGGCCAGCCCTCTGCTGTGGCCAGGGAGTGCAGTGGAGGATGGCCCAGGTGCTTGGGCCCTGCACCCACATAGGGAGACCAGGAGAAGCCTCTGGTTCCTGGCTCCTGCCATCGGATCAGCGCGCCAGCCGCGGCGGCCATTGGAGGGTGAACCAACGGCAAAAGGAAGACCTTTCTCTCTGTCTCTCTCTCTCACTGTCCACTCTGCCTGTCAAAAAATAAAAAAAAATAAAAAAAAAAGATCTCTCTCTCTCTCCTCCTCTCTGTGTGTAACTTTGACTTTCAAATAAATAAACAAATCTTTTTAAAAAATGGTACTTTTTAAAATTTTTAATTTTTTTGTTTTTATTATTTTTCATTACAACTGCTTTTCACCACTTATAATACACTCCAGATTGTTATTTTTACAGAAATTGATAAAATCTAATTGTAGGCAAAATTTCTAAGCTGGCCATGTGTCGCTCCCCCTCTTCGTGGAGGAACGACACAGGACCCTGCGCTGTTCTTTTGTCTGCTCGGCCCTTCCCGGGTTTGCTGCTGGTTCTTCCCGGGTTGGCTACCGTCCCTTCCACCTCCGTGGAAGGGCGGTTCCCCCTGCCACTTTCCCCACTTCCGCGGGGGAGCGGCACACCGCCGGCCGGCTCTCTCGGGGGCTGCACAGGTGTTCCTTCAGATAGATGTTCCTGGTGCATGTTGTCTCTCTCCTCCTTTATAGTCCTCTTCCACCAATCCCAACTCTGCTACCCACACGCCGAGTACGCTGCTCTCCTCCAATCAGGAGCAGGTCCTGCTGTTTATTGGTTGAACTGGAGGCAGCTGTGTAGAAGCTGTTTCCTCCCTTCTCAGTGCCATATTGTGGGAGAGCAGATGCATAGAATAAGTCTTAATTCCAGTAACTTAGTCTAGTCCGAGTTGCTCCCCACAGCCATGGATCTACATTATGATTCTATACCAGGGTAGGCTTTATTAAGAAGGTGCTATATGAGCAAAGATCTGAAGGAGGTGAGGAAGTCAACCACCTGGGAGAAGCACATTCCAGACACAGGAAGAAGTCAGGGCAAGGGCCAGAATGGGAACACATCTGGAGACCAGTGTTTGGATCAGAGTGTGAAAGAGGAGAAGAAAGAAGTTAGAGAAGGAACGAAAACTCAGGAAGCTCTCATGCTTTGCTTCCTCTTGATTGGCTGGTTCCAATGAAAATACTTCTAACCTATGACATATCATATTGATAGCATTCCTTTTTCTTAGACGGCAATTCAAATTACGAACAAGGTGCTCTACTAAATATTAGAGACACTAAGATAAAGAGTGTCTTGGGGCCGACGCTGTGGTGTAGCGGTTCAAGCCACTGCCTGCAGTGCCAGCATCCCATATGGGTGCCAGTTCGTGTCCCGGTTGCTCCTCTTCTGATCCAGCTCTTTGCTATGGCCTGGGAAAACAGAAGATGGCCCAAGTGCTTGGGCTCCTGCATCCACATGAGAGACCTGGAGGAGGCTCTTGGCTCCTGGCTTTGGATTGGCTCAGCTCCAGCTTCTGCGGCCATTTTGGGGGTGACCCATCAGATGGAAAATCCCCCACCCCCACCTCTGCTTCTCTGTAGCTTTGCCTTTCAAATAAATCTATGGACCTTAAAAAAAAAATAGAGTATCTGCCTTCAGGGGCGGGCATTTGGCCTAGTGGTTAAGCTGCTGGTTAGGATGTCCATGTCCCATATCAGAGTGCATGGGTTCGATACCTACCTCTGGCTCCTGACTCCAACTTCCTGCTAATTCAGACCCTGAAAAGCAGTAGTGATAGCTCAAGTAGTTGGGTTCCTGCACCTATGTGAAAGAGCTGGATTGAGTCCTCAGTTGACAGCTTTGGCTCTAGCTCTTTGTGGACATCTGGGGAAGTAAAACAGTGGCTGGGAATGCTTACTAGCCCACTCTTGTGAGTGCTGTGTCTCACAAATAAATGATTTTTAAAAAGAATACCTACCTGGGGTTTCAAACATTATTATCTAAATATCTATGGAGATATGACCCCTGGTAGGTAAAACAAAGTCAGTTAAGGGAATATAATTTTAGGAATTCTTTTTAAAATGTCAGTTTAGACATTACAGAAAGAACAGAAGGAAATTCATGGACAGGTAGATCTATTAGTATTCTTCCAGTCACAGAGAGGCTACCCTGTGTGATTCCCAGGACAACAAAAATGTCCTTATGTTCATTCTTAAATGGACCTTAAAGCTAACCCTTTAATGAGGAAAAACTAATGCTTCTTTTTCAAGCTGTGAAGAAAAATACAATTTTTACCCTAATATGTGAAAAGGATTAGAGAAATGGAACTACAATTAATGCTGTCTGAGTTATAGGAAACTTAATATTGTAACATGCTAACTAACATTAAGAAAACAAACTGGGTGATATTAACTGATTTTAAAGAATGATTCAACATTTGGCATTATGCCCTGCCTTGTATACATAATTTCCTTTTTCCTCCCCTCCCTTGAGTCAGGAAGTGTGTTCTTGAGGCATTTGTATTTTCTAAATTGTTTTGAACGTCAGAAAATATTATTGAAACTTCACGTAAAATATTTAAATATTCTTTGGTAGAAGTCAGCAAATCAGTATTTTTTATCCGTGGATGTATATTGTTTTTGGGGTTGTACAAATGAAAAATATATACTTTACCTCTTAAATATAATTCTAAATTAAATGTCTAAATTAAAATGTCACTCATTATACAAATATCTGCAATTCTGTAATACATAGTTTTTTATTTTAAAAAGATATTTTAACTTCCTCTTTTTAGATGGTTTAAGATATATAAAAATTACTTGGCTGAAACACAATTAAACTGGTTATTTGGGCCATGCCGCGAAAGCTCATTTTAATTTATCCCAGATTACGATTTGACCAAACGTACTTATTGCTAACGGAATGAAAATATGTACAGCACTTTTCATTTAACCAGAGTCTTTCAGGGCAGGCTATAAGTCAGCTTCTTAAATCTATGTTTGAAAGATAGCATTGCTGGGTCTCCAAACCATTAATTGCTGTGAAAACAGCACAGTTTTCTACCAGTCAGGAATCTCAATTAGCAACTTTAATTCTCCTTAAAGACTGTGAGATAGACCAATTCTCACAGCAAAATAACAGGTTTGATTTTGGCAGGATTTTAGATTAAATGTAATATGAATCATCATCCACTAATTCTATTTTAACGAAGTAATTATTTCAACACTGTGCCTACTCTAAGTCAGATAAAATTACTTCCTTAAGGTTACTTAAACACAGAACTGCTGAAAAACTTTCAAAGTTTTATAGAAACCAATTCCAACAAAAATCTAATTTTAACTTCTTGATGCTTAACACATTTTGCTACTTGCCAAAATATTACTTACATTATAGTAATCCCCTAAACATTAGTAGCTTTGCAATTTTTGTCATGGTTGGTTTAAATACGGAGAGTTAGTCATTTGTTTTGCTTTGTTACACAAAATTAAAAACATTAGCAAACTAAAAATTACTCCAGCATTAAAAATTCAATGTAAAAGTAAAGTGACAAAACAGAGATGAAATGTATATTTACATATAATTGGCTTATTTTTAGTAAACAGAAATATTATCCTTTAAAAGTTCTATTAACACTGGTTTTGAATTTTAAAAAGCTTCTCAAAAGAACATATAAATGGAATAACTAACATTATAGGTAGCTACAACTAAAACATTTCATTCCTTAAGAGAAGTTCAGCAAATCTTACCTGTATAGAGCGAACACGAAAAGACAAAAATTTAAACATGGCTACGAAACCATGACGGTGATAAAGTAATTTCTAACGGTAAAACTTAAGTTAGAAAGGAAAGGCCAAGCCCCTGTAAAGTTTTCTCCTACCAGCTGTTCCGGCAATTAGAAAATTTCCTGTCAGGCGGGTCCTGAAAATGCTAGAAAAAGAGGTCGGACAGTTTTCCTGTGGTAAAAGAAAGGAGAAACCTGCCGGCAGGGTCACTAATATAGCTGATAGGTAGGGAGGCCAGAACAGGAAACAAAGATTTGTTGATAGCCAAATCCTGTGGAAATGTTCTTTTCTCCCAGTCCCCACCAACCCAGACAATTTTCACAACCAGCAACACGGATATTATGATCTTAAAATCCCGAGAAATACTAGTATTTCTCAACTATATGGGCCTTTAAAGAAACGGAAACTAGCCATCACTATTAAAATAATACAAGTTGCCCATGCACATGCAGAATTCTACCCTTTGTAATGTTTATACGCAGATTCAAGACATGGTCTCAAGATGGTTATTATACACAGACATGTCATGAGTATTCCCTGTTAATGAGGAAGCTGTATAACTGGGTAGAAAATGAGTATCACAAAAAACTTTCATTGTGATGGAAGGACACATTCTTCCTATCTTAAGTAGAAGTAAATTATATTCAAATTTTCATTGTTTACAAACATCAATTGTCAACCAGGTTAAAGCCTTTAAGGCTCATAGCTAAAACTCATTCAAATAAAATCTGAATTTTAACAAAGTCCAATCCCTGGGATACTAGTGAGCAAAAAGGAACATTTAGGAAGCCAATTTGGAAAAGAAGGGGGGAGGTCAAACTAACAAAGAATCTCTTACTCAGTTTCATCATCTAATACTACCTTACAGAAATTCTTTCAAGGTCTTTTTGTTTTGGAAACTATTTTTTTCAGGTATGTCAATATTCAGAACATGATCGCTGTAGCAGGAGCACTTAACGAAAGAACAGCACCTTCAAGAGCTAGGGAAAAATACTTAACATAGATTTAACCTGTGTGGAACCCACAAAAGCTCAAGGGTTAATCTACTTAGCTTTTAAGAATTTAATAAAACCACTGATTTTTCATAACCTGAAGAGACTCTAGAGAACACCAAGAAAACCAGATAACTTTATAGACGAAGAAACTACTGGAGCTGACACTGGTACAGTGGGTGAAGCCTCTACCTGCAGTGCCATCATCCCACGTGGATGCTGCTTCATGTCCTGGCTACCCATCTTCTGATCCAGCTCTCTGCTTATACTTGGGAAAGCACTGGAAGACGGCCCAAGTACTTGGGCCACTGTATCTGCATGGGAGACCCAGAGGAAGCTCCTGGCTCCTAGCTTTGGATTGGTCCAGCTCCAGCTGTTGCGGCCATTTGGGGAGTGAACCAGTGGATGGAAGACCTCTCTCTCTGTCTCTCCCTCTCTCTGTAACTCTGCCTCAAATAAATAAATACTTTTTTTTTTTTTAAGAAAAAGGAACTAAGGTCAAGGTAGAACATTCTTGGTGAGAGAATTATCCATAATGGAACCTCAGTTTAGTACTCATTTTTTGAGCCAATTATAGTGTCCATTATGTGCTATAAGTACTATATGAAAAGCCAAGGCTTTTGCTACTATACCAAAATTTTATGGCAAGGTTCTATATAAATAATCCAATGGAAATTGAATACCAAAAGCATTACTTAATTAAAAAAATTATCCTTGGCAGGCAATTTGGTGAGTAGTTAGAATACTGATGGGGGGGGGCAGCGAATATAAGCAAAAGCATGTTCTGTTAAGAATATTTATCGGGGCCAGAGCTGTGATGTAGCAGGTAAAGCCGCTACCTGCAGTGCCGGCATCCCATATGGGTGGCTGTTCAAGTCCCGGCTGCTCCACTTCCGATCTAGTTCTCTGCTGTGGCCTGGGAAATCAGTAGAAGATGGCCCAAGTGCTTGGACCCCTGCACCTGCATGGGAGACCCAGAAGAAGCTCCTGGCTCCTGGCTTCAGAGTGGCACAGCTCCGGCCATCGTTGCCAATTGGGGAGTGAACCAGCAGATGGAAGATATCTGCTTCTCTGTCTCTCTTTCTTTGTGTGTGTGTGTGTGTGTGTGTGTGTGTATAGTGGGAAAGGCATTCTGTTCAAGTACCTGGGCCCCCATCATCGATGTGGGAGACCCAAACTGAGTTACAGGTTCTTGGCAAAAGATCTAACCCAGTCCTGGCTACTGAAGGCATTAGGAGAGTGAACCAGCAGATGGAAGATGGATCTATGTGTGAGCATGCACATGAGCTATGTGCATGTGCTTCTCTGCCTTTCAAATAAGTAAAAATTCATAAATAAAAGATTTTTTCAAAATGCAAGCCTTACAGCCGGCGCCGCGGCTCACTAGGCTAATCCTCTGCCTGCAGCGCCGGTTTCTGTCCCGGTTGCTCCTCTTCCAGTCCAGCTCTCTGCTGTGGCCTGGGAAGGCAGTGGAGGATGGCCCAAGTGCTTGGGTCCTGCACCCACATGGGAGCCCAGGAGGAAGTACCTAGCTCCTGGCTTCGGATTGGCGGAGCATGCCGGCCGTAGCAGCCATTTGGGGTGTGAACCAACGGAAGGAAGACTTTTCTCTGTCTTTCTCTCTGTCTATAACTCTCTCACTAACTCTGGTTAAAAAAAAAAAAAGGCAAGCCTTGGGGTAGGCATTTGGCATAGCAGTTAAGATGCTGTTTGAGACATCTGCATTCCATATCAGAATGTCTCAGTTCAAGTCTTGGCTCTGCTCCTGATTCTAGCTTCCTGCTGATTTAGACCCTGGAAGGCAGTGGGAATGGCACCAATAGTTGGGTCACTGACTTCCATGTAGGAGAGGAATTGAGTTCTAGGCTCTAAACTTCAGTCTGGCTCAGCCCTGGCTGTTGCAGGCATTTGTCTCTCTCACTGCGTTCCAAATAAATAAAATAAATCATAAATTAAAAACTTTTTAAAATGCATGACTCAATTTTCCAGCAAGGAAAGCACTAAGAAAGTTTCCCATCAGAACTGAATTCTCCCATCCCCTCAAAGGAATTCTTTACAATGTTCCAAAAGGGCAGCAAGGTTAGCACAATCATGTATCCCCAACTGCAGTCTGCGCACGAGGCAGTTCTTCAGACTGTGATAGGCAGAAGTGAGGATCACGCTGAATGTGGGAAGGATTAAAGAGCACCTCTACAGAAAGCAGTCAACTTTATTCAAGCAATGCTTTTGAATGGAAATCATGAAATAACTTTCAAACCTAAAGGATTAGTTAAAATTGGCTTTAATTACTATTAGTGCTCAGGTTAGTAAATCATATTTTTAGTGTATGCAATTGATAATTATAAAATTTAAAAAATTCTTTACATAAAAAAACACCATAAACAGAAAGACTAGCTCATGTCACTGGAATTCTTTGTAAGCATAACTCATCACAGAGTGGTTGCTTTATTTGGGTGCGACCATCTCCTAACCAAAATGTAAGCTGTTAAAGTCCCTTGATTCATCTCTTAAGGGCATTTATTATACACAATTACTAGTATATTCCACTGCCTGTATTCCACTGGGAACAGGAATTAAACTTACTGTAGTATTCCCATAGCAAATAGTACATAGGAAGAACTCAAATAGAGGCCACATATGTAAGTATAATATGCTGATATCTGATAGGGACGGTACTTGTTCAGTAGTATACATGAAACAGAGGTACTGTTACTCATACTTTTCCCCACCTTTGTAACTTTTAAAATTTCCTAACCTTACTAGTTTTTCAGCTAATTTTTGTTCATGTTCTATCTTATTAAATTTAACATTTATCATATTATCTACAAAGCAACTTTTTCAATAAAATGATACATGGCCATTATAGATAACTTAGATAATTAAAAAAGAAAAATGAAAGAAAAATATCACTATTTTGGTGAATTTCTTCCCAGTCTTTTTTCTATATACCAGACATACTTGGACCATAGTATGCAAATTTGATTATCATTTTTTCTGTAAAAGCCAAGATAATAAATTCTTTCAGCTTTGTAGGATAAATGGTTTCTGTCAAATTTGCCAGGACAGTGGGAAAATAAATAGGGACTGTGTTCCAGCAAAAATCTACCTATAAATATATGCAGCAAAATAAATTAATAAAACATGTGGGAGACCTGGATTGAGTTTCCAGCATCAGGCTTCAGCTGGGTCCAGCTCTGGGTGTGGTGGCACTGGGTAGTGAACCAGTGCAAGGAGAACTCAGTCTGACTGTCACTCTCTCTCAAACGGGACCATGGTATAGTTTGCTGACCCCTGTTCTTTATTACTAAAAAACCTTCAAAGTATTACTAATAACTAATGCAAATTCTACTAATATAAACCCCCTTTATGGGCATTTGATCTTCTATACCTCTGTGATATCCTAGCCTTTGTGCACAAGCACAATCATTTAGAAATCATTTCTAGATGTAAAATTGCACGGTAGGGGACTGGCACTGTGGTGCAGCGGGTAAAGCTGCCATCTGCAGTGCTGGAACCCCATATGGGTGCCACTTCTAGTCCCAGCTGCTCCACTTCCAATGCTGGTTAGTGTCCTGGCTGCTCCTCTTTTAATCCAGCTCTCTGCTATGGCCTGGGAAAGCAGCAGAAGATGGCCCAAATCCTTGGGCCCCTGCACCCGCATGGGAAGACCCGGAAGAAGCTCCTGGCTTCGGATCTGCATAGCTCCAGCCGTTGCGGCCAATTGGGGAGTGAACCAGCAGATGGAAGACCTCTCCCTCTCTCCCTCTCTCTGCCTCTCCTCTCTAACTCTTGACTTTCAAATAAATAAATAAATCTTTTTAAAAATTGCATGGTAAAGAGTATGCTGCATTAAGATTTTTGATCCTAAATTACTTGCCATGTTCTCTTCCAGGAATAACTTGAATAAAAAAGACATGAACCCATATCTCTTGGGCTGGGGCAAACAATGGCCAGACCTGGGCAGCCAAGGGCCAAATTTACATGTTACCTTTTGCTCTTTTTGCTCTATGATGGCTACCACAAGTAGTTGTAACAGAAACCAATGACACACAAAACCTAAGATACTTATAAATTATGTAGACATAATATGTCTGTATATTATAGACAAAGCTTGCTGGCCCATGATCTAAAGCCCTCAAACAGAACGAGCAGGAGATGTGAAAAGTCCTAAGATAGGATTTAGTTAGATGAATTCGACACAGAAGAAAGATCAGGGTAGCTAGAATGTAATGAACATAACGGAAAGAGAAAGGACACAGGTAGTTTGGTTTCATATTAAGCAAGATCTGCTGATTTAGGCCATCAGATTCAGATTTTATAAAGCTGTACGTATAATCCAGATACGTATATTCAGAAAAGCTCTGAAATCGCAAACATTCCTGGTACAAAGCATTTCAGTATCAAGTTTAGGTTTGGGGCTGGCAATGTGGTATAGTGTGTAGAGCTGCTGCCTGCTGTGCCAGCATCCTGTGTGGGCACCAGTTCAGGTCCTGGCTGCTTTACTTCCCATCCAGCTCTCTGCTGATGCACTTGGGAGGGCAGCAGAGGACGTCTTGGGTGCTCGGAAGACCCAGTCAGGGGAGGGAGGTGCTCCTGGCTTCAGCCTGGCCCAGTCCCAGCTGTTGTGGCCATTTGAGAGTGG